TGAGATTAAAGGCATCCATCCATACTATTGTTTTATGGCACTTGGATTAAACTCAGTGCCTGGAATGTACCAGACAACCAACAGTGAACCATATCCACAGTCTCCTTCTACTCTTTGTTTTGTTTTGAGACAGGCTCTCATGTATCCCAGGCTAACCTCAACCTCACCGTGTAACTAAGGATAACATTGAACTTCTGACTGACTTGTCTTTGCTGTCTGAGTGCTGGGTGACAGGCATACACCAATGACACCTGTTTGTGTGGGGCTGGGCCTCATGAATGGTAGTCCAGCACTCTGAGCTACATCCTAACTCCCTTTTTACCTTTGTGTTGAGATGTTAAATATTCCAGGCTGGACTCGAACTTGTAACCCTCTTGTCTGAGTCTCCCGAATTAACTGGGATTACAGGTTTGCATCACCCATGCCTGACTTTTTTTTGTTTTGTTTTGTTTTGTTTTTCGAGACAGGGTTTCTCTGTGGCTTTGGAGGCTGTCCTGGAACTAGCTCTTGTAGACCAGGCTGGCCTCGAACTCACAGAGATCCGCCTGCCTCTGCCTCCCAAGTGCTGAGATTAAAGGCGTGCGCCACCAACGCCTGGCCCCATGCCTGACTTCTTAGATGCTCTTAAAACTACCATTTTCGTCCTCATTGACCAAAACGTTTCACAATGAATAAACCACAGAGTAAAAGAGGAGAGGTTTGGAGCTAGAATCCACAGGCATGCATGCACACACCCAGGCACACACACTTGCATGCACACACCCAGACATGCGCGCACACACACACTGGCATTTGAGAAATAGAGGAAACTGAGTTAGAGAGAGAGACTGGAGAGGAGGGAGCAAATATCAGAAAGCCCGTATCTGAGACCCCAAGGCACAGAACTGTAACCCAGGTGGGAACCGTAGAGACAAATGGCTTTGTTGTTCTGGTGAGGTAGGAACTGCACAGGTAAAATTATGGAGCACTCACTGTGACACTGCTCCAGTGTGAAAAGTCATAACTCCCATGGGCCAATAGGCCGGGGTGAAAGCCATGGTGTCCTCCATGGAGAGGCACATCGTGTCACCATGGATAAAGGGAAGTTCAGCCCACACAGTATGTGGAAGGAGCTATCACCAGAGTTACAGAGGTGCCTGCATCCCTGCTTGGGGCCTCATGGCCTCCCCTGTGCCGTGTGTGGGTTACTCCATTGCAGGTGTGTGTCATCAGGTGAGTAAGGCTATGCACACCAGGAGTGCTTTGCAAAGCCTTACCATTGTCATGCAAAGTGCAGAATGATCGTTTTCTTAAATGACAACCTCAAAAGTTCACAGCTGAACACGCCTGTAATCCTAGCACTCAGGAGGACCACAACATAGGGTGGAGCCCTGACTTAGAAAAAAAATCTAAAATATGCCGTCCCATAAAACTAAAAGTGCTTTCATAATTTCCATACAGAAGCAACCAAATATTTATGGCATAATAAAAACAGTGACATACTATGTAACATGACAAAGAGCAAGGCAAGTCTGTGTGCAACGTGTGAAAATGTCCCCAAAATGAGTCCCGTGAAGAACTGTATGTCCAGTGTGCTCTCATCTGCTCAAAACAGTCCTGAGTGTGTGAAGACCAGGGTGCACACCTGACTCTTAAACTGAAGAATGAGTCTGGGTGAGAGAGTTTCCCTTCCTCCAACCCCAGCTCCCCCCCTTCTCTTTTCTCGCTTTCCTCCACCCCTTCTTTGTTTCTTGACAGGTCTTGACCTGTGTCCCAGGCTAATCCTGGAGTACAATCCTCCTTCCTCAGTGTTAGTATTCAGGCATCTGTGCTGGCCTGTCCTGGGGTTCTGACAGGACACACCCTCAGCTGCAGCCACTAAGAGCACCACCTGCGCAATTCACTGTGTTCCCTTTGAAAAGGCCCTGCCCACCTCCCATCCTCTTCTCTTTCTATCTCTGTCTCTGCTTCTCTCTTTTCTCTTCTGCAGCCCAGTCACCCCTCTCCCCTTCATCCATCCACTTTCCCCCAATGAAAAAACCCTCCACGTGAACTCTGTCACAAGGCATCTTTCTCTGGCATGCTACTTTTTAAAATTATAACATTTCTGAGTGCTGTGATTACAGGCATGTGCCACCACACAGTTTTGTTGATGTTCATACCATCTTAAATGGGCCCGGTTGGATTTGACCTCAAAAGCTAAGCAGAACTGAGCCTGCTTATTAGTTCAACAGGTGGACTTTCATTTTTAATTTCTAGGTTTTTTAAGTAATCTTTATCACTGAGATCAATAAATGATATATTTTCAAAATTTTTTACATGGAAAGAAAAAATAAGAAAGGAACCGTAATTAGATTAACTATTACATATGGGTCCCCAAGAGAAAGTGAAGTCATTTAGAAATTGCTAAAAATAAACAGAAAGGGAAAATAAAAGAATTTTCGAGAAAAACGGCTCAAGAGTAAAATCTGTAAAGTGGGGAGAGTTCTGTGTACAGTTCTCAGTGTAGACACCAGAGGGACCTGAGCTGGACCACGGGCCCTCATGTAAAGGCCGGGAGTGGCAGGTGCTTGGCTGTTACCATGGTGCCAGGAGTGGGGACTGGAGGATGAGGGGGCTCACTGACTGCCTAACGGCACAGGGAGTGCTAGGTTCAGAGGGAAACTGACTGAAGAGATTGTAGAGGACAACTTGTGCCTACCTGTGGCCTCCACTACATGCACACACAGATGAGCTTGCATGCAAGCACACACATGCAACTGGCCTGGCTCCCTCTGGCAGTGACTGGCAGCTGCCACACCCGAGGTCACTGTGACTTCCACATTATGCCACTCTGTGAGGTAGTGTCCCTGCCTCTCTAGAACGTGACTTAACCAGTAGAGTCAGCCAGGCCTTATCATTTTCTTTTTAACACAGGTGTTTCTCTGCTCACTGACTGAGACTAGCAGGTGGAAGAAAAGTTGGTTGTCAGCGCCTGAAATCCAGGAAACCCAGCCCCTCCAGCTCCTGCGAGCTGATGATGGAACAGAGGTTTCCTAAAGACCCTCATCCCCAAACAGAACTGAAGCCGGAGACAACGACAGAGGTAACGGCAGTGGCGTGGAGAGGGAAGCAAAGGCAGGTGACAAGAAAACGTCCCATGGTCCTGGGGCCTGGCTTGCTGACTTCAGGAAACCTCAAGCATCTTTGGTGAAGTCACAGTTGCTTGGTGAGGCAGTCCCTGCTGTCCACAGACATCTCACACAGCGGTGTCGGAGACGTTAAACAAGCTGTGCTTACTTAGGACTGGAATGATATGTGAGTTCCTACCCAGGTCTAGGGTAAATAAACCGCTCTGTAAGAACAGAGGGACACGGAAGGCTGAACACATCCCGCTCTTTCCTAGGCCTGACCAATGCCTCATACAGACCCATTTCACAGCTCTGCTCACTGAGGGAAATGCTTCATTTATAGTCTTATTATAGCTATACGCTGTGGGCAACGTTGAAAAGGTGTGTGTGTGTGTGTGTGTGTGTGTGTGTGTGTGTCCCCGAGAGACAGCTCAGTGGTTTAGAGCACTTGTTGCTCTTTCAGTGGACTAGGGTTCAATTCTCAACACCTACATGGCAGCTCATAATCATTCATAACTCCAGTTTCAGGGAATCCAACACCCTTTGCTGACATTCATGGGCACTAGGCATGCACAGGGTATATATACATACATGTAGGCAAAATGTTTATACATACAACATTAAATACATCTAAAGTATTTTTTAAAAATAATTGTGTGTGTGTGTGTGCATGTGTGTGTATATGTGCTTGGAGGTAGGTAGGTAGTCTTTGCAAGCCTTAGAGGTGTAATTTGAAAGCCACAAAGATCCAATATAAACCTTTTGTAAAGACACCTACGTCTGACTCTCATGCAGAGGGCCACAGCCATGCTTGGGTGTGTCTCCCTGCTTCCCTGAGTGTCTCTCTCCATTAATCCCCTGTGCTTAATACGTTAGAAATGACTTTACTTAATCTTCACCCATTTCATGCTGGCTTCCCTGAACAAAGCCACACGTCCTGGTTTTGCCTGCATGGCGGTCCCTACGGGACAGAAAACTCTTGAGGCTGCTGTGGGAGATGGATGGGAGCCGTACTCTGTCTCTGGTGACCATGGTGAAAGCCATTTCCTCCCGCATTAACTTCATTTGCTGGGTTCGTGGTCTCGTCCATTTCTGTCCCACAGGCCAGAAAGTCCCCCCCTTACCTTCTTGGTGCCTTGATGAGTGTGAGACACAGGACGGGCACTTAGCCCATATGTCTGGTCATCCTCCTATATTCAGGGCTGGAGGATGGAGCTGGCTGCAGGTCTAACAGATGCGACACCACCTTTGCCTGGTGTCCTCTCAGAGGGCAGGATGACACTCACAAGCCCGGCAGTGCATTTCAAGTGCCAAGTGACATTCGCAACATGCACCTTCAAGCGCTGGGCCACCAACCTGGGTCAAATGAGGCCTGGGGACAGGAGGCAAGTCTGCAGAGTGTGACGTGTCACTCCGGGTGGGGAACACACTCCCTGCCCCCCAGTCCTAGATCCTCTTACTCTTGTGGATTAGGAGGTACATTCCCCAAGCCAGCCCGGCAGGCCTGAGCTCCTTAACCCAGAAACAGAGTGGTGACCCCAAAGGCTGCTGCTCCACAAGAGTCACACGGAGAGTAGGGGGTGCGTGCGTGTGTGCGTGCGTGCATGCGTTTGTGTGTGTGTGTGTGTGTGTGTGTGTGTGTGTGTGTGTGTGTGTGTGCTCCTGTCTTTCCCACGGATGAGACTGAGATGAGATGATTGTTAATCTACATTCCCAGATCATTCTTCAGCAAATCTAAGATGCCTGAGTATATTAAATAGGTATTAAACCAACCATGAATATTTACAAAGAAATCTATACTTAGTTCCTTTTCTCTTTCCTAGGAAATATAAAACAATAAACTATATTTAAAAACAGAAGCACTAGGTTTCAGGATAATTGGGTAGAACACAATGCTCGATGTCTTGCAAGTTTTTACTCTCCCTGACAACATGTTTTGACATTTTATTAACAAGCAATAAACAATGACAGGAAATTATTTGGTTTCACATAACTTTCAAAAGCAGTAACAAAATAGTTGGCTTTTTTAAAAAATAAGGTCCACATTAAAAAAATACATTAGAAGTTTATAAAAGTGAGAGTGTCACTATATGGAAATATGAATTTCTTTAAGCAAATTCTACTGAAACTACAGTTCTCCACGTTTCAGAGAAAACTTATGTATTTCTCTTTTCTGTGGTGCTATGGACAGAATCCAGGGCTTCACACTTGTTAGGTAAATTGAGCCGTGGGCTGTCACCCAGCCTTAGGGGAAACTGCCCAGGCTTGTCCACAAGACAGCCACTGTGCCCCTCCACTTCTTCAGTAGAAAAGCAGAAGTAGAGAGAACCATGGGAAACCGAGACCAGCCGGATAGAGCCTGGCCTTGGGCACAGGTTATCTGAGTTGTTCCAGCCAGGGTGGGCTGTTAAGGATGATCAAGAGGACCAGGAGGGGGGAGGATGCAAGACAATGTGCTACTCTCCGCCTCCCCAGACAGAGCACGGAGATCTGCACAAGGCAGACACGCTGAATGGGGAGGAGTCCACACCGCTCATCAAACAGAGCACTTTCATTCCAACTTAGTCTTTCAAATGCAACTCTTGGACAATCACCACCTGGTAGGGAAAAGAAAACACATTTAATTCAAACAAAATTTTTAAAAATGTAATTTTTTAAAAAATATTTTCATGATAAAAGACTGACCAAACCATCAGGCTAGGTTTCCCAATCCAGAGACCTGAGCAGTAGGTGGCCTAAGGCCCTGATGGCAGGTGCCGTCCACAAGGAGGTCCCTGTCCCCTGTGTCTTTCCTCTTCCCTGTGGACTCACTGGTGCCTTCAGGTAAACTCTGTGAGGGTCTGTTGCCTTCTGATGCGCTGATACACTAGGCCTCACTATTGCTCTGGGAACCCTGGGCCTCAGGGTTTGTTAAGCAGCAATGGGCAGAGAGATCTCAGTGTTGTGTAAACTTTAAAAAATACCTAACAATTGACCATCATATGCTAAATGTTTATCTGAAAATATCACGTACTTTTAAGTCTTAGGGAGGTCACCATCGTGCGTGAGAAGCTCTTGCCACCCCTTCCCCTGCAAGCAGTAACAAATGTCAAATCCTTCACAGCCTGGCGTGGGCGCACTCGCTCCTCTGCTTACCTTCAGCTTTGGCTCCGGATCCTAGTCACGTACTTGTCAGGCTGGGCAGCGCTCATCACTGTGGTATAGATTGTGTAGCTGAAATAATGAGACCAATTCTTATGTGTGTATCACCTTCCCATATGACGCCCTTCCCCATCTCTTGGAATGCAGGATAAGAAGGCAAAGAGGTGTAATGTCTAAGATGTAACGCAAGAGATCTAAATGGCTTTTCTTCCTATTTTGAAACACCATTGAAAGCCAAGTTGGATTTTTAAATGCTGACTCCTCGAAGCATCACGCTGTGGTAGTGGGTGACATCACCCATGTGTGGGGCTACCTCTAATGGGGTCATCGCCTATTCTTTGCTGTCATGGTGAAAGGGAACCCCCAACTTCTGCACAGTCACCCCTCAGAGCACACTAGGGGCTTCCTGTGACCCTCCCCTTAGGAGAGTGTGTGAGTAAAATCACAGGCAACAAGCCAGAGAAACCCTAGCTCACAGACTACAGCTGTCAAGAGCACAGGCTAAAAGGGGGAGAAATAATAATAATAATATAAACAACCATAATAACGTAAAGCAACATTTTTAAAAATCAAAAGAATAAATACATCCCAGCACTTGGGAGGCAGAGGCAGGCGGACCTCTGTGAGTTCGAGGCCAGCCTGGTCTACAAGAGCTAGTTCCAGGACAGCCTCCAAAAGCCACAGAGAAACCCTGTCTCGAAAAAAAAAACAAAAAAACAAAAACAAAAAAAAAGAATAAATACATAAAAGAGAAACACAATCCCCCAGAGGTGAAAGGTGGATCTCTGAGTTCGAGGTCGGCCTGGTCTACAGTGTGAGTTCCAGGACAGCCAGGGCTAGCAGTTTCCTGGAGAAACTCTGTCTAGGAAAAAAGAAAAGAAAGGAAGGAGGGAAGGAAGGAAGGAAGGAAGGAAGGAAGGAAGAAAAAAGAGAGAAGAAAAAAGATAAAGGAAAGAAGGGAGGGAGGGAAGGAGGAAGGAAGGAAGGGCGGAAGGAAGGAAGGAAGGAAGGAAAAGAATCTCAGACTGTGAGTCAGAGCGGGTAGCAGAGACTGGAATGTGACAGAGCTGAAAAACTCGTGAAGAACGTCCCCCTGCAGACTGAGAGGCAAACATGTCGTTACCCAACTCCTTCCTCATCCTGGTCACCCCATCCTGCTGGCTTTGGTTTTCTTGAATTTCTCACCTGGCTGTGACATGTACCTGTCCCTCCCTTTGAACTAGAATATCTGTCCCCTGAGACTTGGCTTTGCTCACTGCTGCCTCTGGGAGCAAGGATCCCTGGGAAGCCAAGGTGTGCTTGAGGTTGTCACATGCTCTTAGATAAGCACAGACTCCTCACTGGGCCCCCATGGTACCTGAGGGAAGGCTAAGGCCCAGCCACCTGCCTTCATTTTACATGTGTCTCCTTTGCTTTGTACCACTGCTCCCTCTGCACACGGACATGCTAATCTGTCACTCTGCACGCGGCACGTTAGTAGGGAGTCCCTATCCAGAAACTGGTGCTCATCTAAGCTACATCAACCCGATTCAAGTCTTCAGATACACGGACACATGTTACCGCCCATTTTTACACTGTCCTGTTCCGGTTCCTCCAAATGCACCTCAATGCCCCCAGTCATTATCCTACACCTGCATCAACTTGGGTTCCAGGAACAGCATAGCCTGAAGGACACACCATCGCCACCTCCAAGGCAAGGCACCTGTCCCCTCAAGAGGTGAGGACTTTTTCAGAGCCCCTGCAGAGCCAGAGTGGGGCAGAATGGGACAGCAGCACCAGGAGGACTTTAGAATCTTCCCCCAATTCTTCCTCTGTTTAACCTAATCCCCTGCCAGCTTCCTGCTCAGCCTCACCGACCCCTTATTTGTTCCTCTTCCCAGCACCCTGATCGACACACCTTTCTCTGTCTCCCTCTAATGTGCATCCCTTTAACTGGCACAGTAGGACGGGCGCTGGGCTAGCTTTTTTTTTTTTTTTTTTTTTTTTTTGGTTTTCGAGACAGGGTTTCTCTGTATTGTTTTGGAGGCTGTCCTGAACTCACTCTGTAGACCAGAGATCTGCCTGCCTCTGCCTCCCGAGTGCTGGCATTAAAGGTGTGCGCCACCAACGCCGGGCTTGGGCTAGCTTTTAAAGGCTTCGAGTGCCAGAGCTTTTGCTCTGACACTTGGGTCACCTGGTTGCAGTAACGTTTGTGCTAGGGGAAAATGAAGAGTGTGTGCTGAACATGCGACTTACTTGTTATAAACGGGAAATACAGATAAAACCTGCATAGAAAAAAATCGTATCATGAGAATATTAAAAGGTAGAAGAAACGCATGTGGAGTACATATGAGGAGACTATAACCACTCACCCTGCTGCCCAGGCACCTGCTGCCAAGCCTGATGGCCTGGGTTCAATCCCTGGAACCCGCATGGTAGAAGGAGAGACCCGACTCCCATAAGTTGTCCTCTGAGCTCCTTGTGTTTGGTACGGCACAAGCTCTCTCTCTCTCTCTCTCTCTCTCTCTCTCTCTCTCTCTCTCTCTCTCTCTCTCTCTCTCTCTCTCTCACACACACACTAAATTAAAGTTTATAAAAAAATAATATAACCACTTAACATTTCTATGTATCTCAGGATGCTTGTTACAGATTTTTAGATCCTTGTTTTATCTCTCTCTCTCTCTAACATTTAAGTATTTTTATTTCATGTGCATTGGTGTTTTGCCTGCATATGTATGTCTTCGTGAGTGTGTTATATCCCCCTGGAACTGGAGCTACAGCTGTGAGCCACCATGTGGGTGCTGGGAATTGAACCTGGGTCCTCTGGAAGAGCAGTCAGTGCTTTTAACTGCTGAGCCATCTCTCCAGCTCCCATTCTTTCTCTTAAACAACAAACACATATTCTAGCTATGCTTATTTTAATACGAAGAGAAGCTTAGATGAAGACACTTACACTACCATATAGACCCAAACTCAGAAAATATTAAGCGATTTTTAAAATGTTTTCGGCTCTCATAGAACTTTTACTGAAATGTTTTTTCTTGATTTCAGAGCAGCTTTTTCATACTCTTAGGACAACATGGAGATGGAGTTACCTGGAAAAGGGCCTCCAGGCTGATGTGTGCTTGCCCTGTGGCATTTAGGGCTTTGATGGCTGGTGTTCTGTAAGGACAATGGGCCAAAGATCACCAGGTGCCTCAGGAAACTCTGACCCTCATCAGATGCCATTTTGAGAGGCACAGTGCAAGGCCCAGATTCCTGCGAATAGACTCTGGCTCCCAACATTCTCTCCTGAGTCATCTGATTCGTTCAGCTGGACCCTGCCCCTGCCCATCCCAAGTGCTCAAGGAAATTGGGACAATTGCTGCAGAAATCCACTATTGCCAAACCAGTGGGAGAATAGAGATTAGTGAGATATACTACTTCCTGTAACCAAATGACTGGCATTTCCACATTAGAAAGGGAATTCAAGCCCTTGTATCAGCAGAGCAATTGACTGATTTTTTTTTTCAAGACAGGGTTTCTCTGTGTAGCTTTGGAGCCTGTCCTGGATCTCGCTCTATAGACCAGGCTGGCCCTGAACTCACAGAGATCTGCCTGCCTCTACCTCACGGGAGCTAGGATTAAAGATATGTGCCATCATTGCCTGGCTTGACTGATTGATTTATGGAAAATGACTTTCAGCCCTTCCCACACACTTTCAGTTAGGTGAACAAAGACCCTATTGGCTCCACGGAGTCACTGGTAGGGATCATGGTGGAATCCAGGGCTCCTTGACCCTGGGGCCAGGACCCTTCTAGCCTCCACCAACTACCAAGAGGTCCTCTCCACTGCCCTCCTCCACACCCTGTACTCTTTGCCCTTCCAGGCCCTGGTGAGAGGCCAGCTGTATTTTCTGGAAGGAGATGTCACCTGTAGGTCCCTGTGGTATGAATGGGACAGTCTCCTGACCATGAGAAAATACTGGAAGTCTACCTACAGGAATTATGCCTCTAATCTAGTACCAGGAAGGCTGATGCAAGAGGATTACTCTGAATTTGTGGTTAGCCTGGGTTTTAAAGCGAGTTCCATGCTAGCCTGGTCATGCGGAGTGAGACCCTGTCTCAATGAAACAGAACAAGACAAGACAAGAAGAATCTACCTTCGGTCATCCCACTCGGGTACAGGCTTCCAATGATCGTAATTTGTCTCAACTCGGAACCACCTGCAATAGAGTGTGTCAGTTTGCCTTACCAGGGACATTTAGAAGAAATATTAAAATGCAAAATAAGATGCAATTCTACTTACGCTCCATTCAGTGGGTCAAGAGGCCAAATGTCCGCTGGGCCACCTCTGTTCCGGGTGATGACTACCCCCTCCCGGGGCAAGGTACCCCCAACAATGTAGTAAACATCAGCGATGAGGGGCGTCTTGGCCAGAGTGTAAACAGCAGCTTCAAAGTTTTCTGAGTCACTCAGGGTCTGAGCAAAAAGACAAACTGGTATTGGCGACGTCATCCAATGGGGAGGGCTCACGGGGCAGGACACACATTCCAAAGACTCTTGATGCTAACTAAACTAAGCCATACCTATAACCTGTGACTCCTGATTTATCCCATAGTCACTGGGGCTCCTGAGAAGAAAACAGAACAGCACTGACAAACGCCTCAGCTTTGGCAGAGAGGCCGTAGCGACAGGACAGAGCTGTGAGCTAGTCCTAGAGTTGACTCCCCCAGTCTTGGTGGCATGAGTTTTGACTGACCACCTTCCCAATCATTGTAATCTCCACAGTCACTGCTGATCACTGCTCTGCATGAGGCAATGGGCTGGAGGGGGGCCAGGACCTCATTCTTGCTCTCAGCAAAATTTCCAAGAACACAATGCCGTAACCAAGCAGTGGTGACACACCGAAATAATGATGGAAGCCACAACAAGGAACCCATCCATTCTCAGGGCACAAGAGCTCAGGTACCAAGAGACAAACAGGAGTCACTGCGATGGTGGCTTCAGGGTTTGGAGTGGATGTGGGGCTGGGTTCCAGGTCAATGGACTCAACTGGGACAGAGAGACAGCATGTGGCATTAGGACGAGGAGCCAGGCCAAGTCTGTGGAGACACTCAAAGGTCTGAGGCACGCACAGTGAAGAGGGTCACTCTCCAGCACCTCACTGCCACTCATGTTCCTTCACTAAACTCAGCTGCTGAGAACACCCTGCCGTCCCCAACACCTTCACAATCACTCTTGTCACTTTGAGAGAAAGACATCCCACAGCTAGTGTTATATCACAAGGCACACAAGCCACAAGGCCCTGACAAGGCCTTGTAAATATTGCTGGAAGGATGAGATACTTTTATTATTATTTTATTTACTTTTTTTCATGTGTGTCTTCTCTGACCCTTCTAAGTCTCCATTCACCTTCTTCATTCCCTCATTCTTCCTTTATAGCAGCCTGGCTCCTCTGCACAACTCAGAGCTGAGCTCAGGTCACCCTGACTGTTGTCTCTATTGTAATAGTGCATTACTGACTAAAATCTGCCCTGGTGATTGTCAGTTAGTACCTCGCTTTATCATTAATGTTTACTATGGAAAGACAGATGGACTGGAAGACAATGCATCATTTGTTCTTCTTGGAGGAAAACATCAAATCCTGTTAAAGGACGCAGAGCCCTGCAGCATGACCCCTCTGTTTAGATGAGCCTGGGTGAAGGGGACTCAACACTAGTACTCACTTTTCGGATGAGCCAGCTGATCGGAGAATGTCCCAGAGAAATGGCAGCGATCACATTCTCCCACCACCAGCCTTTATCTGCGTGTGCAAAGAAGCAGCAGTTCAGGCCCAAACACCACTCAAACAATACTTCTTAAGTAAAAGGTTTTTGTTACATTTATTTCCATATTTACTTTTATTGTGTGTTTAGGTGTGTGTGCCACAGCATGTATTTAAGAGTCAGAGGACAGCCTGCAGGAGTGCGTTCTCTCCTTCTGCTATGTGGGTCCCGGGGATCAAACTCAGATCCTTGGACGTGATGGTTGGTGCCCTTCCCTGCTAAGTCATCTTGCTGGCCCTGGGCCTGAGAGCCAACCAATCATAAAAGCATCTATACACAAGTGAATATGTATATAATATTCATATGTATAGTAATAAACAAAAACAAGCAGATATTTACTGACTCCTCCTTTTCTTTTTTTCTCTTTTCTTTATTTTTGAGACAGGATCTCCCTGTGCAGCCCAGGAGTCGGGATACAGACATGTGCCATCATGGCCAGCTTCCCTCAGGTTTTGCAAACAGAATCTTTTGCACCTGATTCAACAGTGATTATGTTAGATAAAATCATTCTACCAATAATTATCTTGGCAAAAATTAAATTCTATTCCTTTCAAGGGAGGCTACTCGACAAATATTAGGAAGAATGGGGCAAACTTTGCCTTTTTGACGTATCTTTAATAAGTTTACATGTGGACTGAGTTTCATCAAATTTGTATGTTCCAGAGTAACTCAGTTACTTTAAATTGCTCTCGTTTCAATAATTAGTTTAACAAACATCTTAATTCATAAGACAATGGAATCAAAGCCTGTTTAAGTAAATATATACATCACACACACACACACACATGCATGCATGCGCGCATGCATGTGTGTACACATGCACACACAACTTAACATTGAGCAGTCAAAGATGGTCAAAACATAAGTCACACTAGAATAGTGGTACTTCTGCAATCCCAGCATTCGGGAGGCTCATTCAAGAGGAGCCTACTGTTTCAAATGTATGTGTGAGCTACAAAAAGATAATACTGTTTCAAATGTACATGTAAGTGTGTGTGTGTGTGTGTGAGAGAGAGAGAGACAGAGAGAAAGAGAGACAGAGAGAGAGACAGAGACAGACAGACACACACACACACACACAGAGAGAGAGAGAGAGAGAGAGAGAGAGAGAGAGAGAGTCTGTTCACTCTTTGGCCCAACACCCTCCTATGGCTTCTATTCTGGTTAAAATTCAAACGATCATCATGGCCCTGCACATGGCCATGGTCTCCTCTATACCTCCAATGTCCTTACTCCCTGTTGTAACTACACCAACTGTGTTTCATTTCTAGACTACACCAATAGTAATAACTATTGCCATAACTACACTGACTTCCATTTTTTTAATCACACCAATAGCATATATATATTTGCAACATCAAAGACAGTAGGTGCCTTTGTTGTTGCTGTCAGACCACAGAGATATCTTCCTCTTGCCTCTGCAGACCCAGACTGGGATGACATGGATCAGGCCTTCCCTGACCCTTGACCCTAGTAGCAGCCTATCCCCCATGCCTCTGCACCTTCCACCAGATCGTCCCTCAGTCCTTCCTTTGCAGTCCCAGGCACCACCTGAGGTCACCCTCCTTGCTTACGGGACTTCCCTCATGAGTGGAAGTGGAAGTCGCTGGAAGTTTCCTTTCACAAAATCTGCTGGTTGAGAGTGAAGGAGGCACTTAGAAGACCTCAACAAGGATTTGCTTTAAAATACTCAGGAATTTTTAAATTACCTCGTTCATCGCCAGAAACTGTAAACTTGTGTGGACTTTGACCTGTCCATAATCCTACATATCCCACAAAAGTAGTCCCCGTGTATGCAACCTGAAATCAAGGGAAAAAGGCATCATTTACCACCCAGCAGAGTGCAAATTGAAATCACTTAATTCCCCTACACTTTCCTGCATTGCTTGTTTACTTGTTGGTTGAGAGTGCCTCACTATATGAGGCCTAGATAGCCTGGAACTTGCTGTGTAGACCAGGATAGCCTCAAATTCACAGAGATCTACTTGCCTCTGCCTCTAGAATTGAGATTAAAAGTGTATGCCACCATACCCAGCTTCCTGAATTTTTTTCGCCTTAGAGATTTCAACATAACAGAATGAAACTCTGAAACATATTCTAGAGCAAGGTTTCTTAACCTTGCCAGGGAGCGATCTATGGTCAGAATTCAGAGTGAGATGGACGGTGGTGGGGTGTGTGGCTTTCCTTTCCCTAACCAAAGTAGAACCAAGCTGCTTCCTTGTTTTGTTTTTCAGGACTGTTTCTTTGCATAGCCCTGGCTATGCCAGAGCTTGCTCTGTAGACCAGGCTGGCCTTGAACTCAGCTATCTACCTGCATTACACCTGGCTCTCCAAACTGCCTTTTAGTGAACGTGCTCGGCAAAGCATGAAGTAATGGCTGTGCCTGTGGTTTTTGCAGAGGACCTTGCTGGTACTTGGAGATGAGAGACAGTAGTTGCAGATGACTTGTACCACCACCCAGGGTGACAGACACTATGAATGAGTCATGGTAGTTACCAGACTGGCTGCTAAGTCAGACTACTAAAAAAACCTTAAAGGTATGATACTGAACCAGCAGATTTCACCACAACCCGTTGTTTCTATCCCTTTGCATTCTGTGTGTCTATGAAACACTATTGACCCAGAAGACTTCCATTCTGAAGGTAGCAAATGGAGTGTGACTGGAAATGGTTTTGAGTTTATGCCAAAGGCAAACACTCTTCATTTATAAGGCCTGTGGAGTTTAGGGAACTAAACCATTGGAATGACTTGCCAATAACAGCCAGATTAAAGTTCAAACGCTTTAAGTCACCCTACAACCAGATTTCATTTACAACATCACTGTAAACCAAGTCACAAGTTGCAGAAGTTGAGAGGCATCAGTTCCTGGAAGCGTCTAGAAGCATCCATCCTGCACAGTTTGTACTATTTATAACGGCTAACCAAAATTTTTAGATTTTGAGGAGTTAAATAGACCTAGAGTAGTATTTTTGTTTTCAAAACTTAATATTAAAGCTAGGTGTGCTGATGCATGCCTCTAATCCCAACACCCATAAGTAGATATCTTTGAGTTCAAGGCCAGTCTGGTCTACATAGTGAGTTTCAGGACAGCCAGGGCTACACAGAGAAACCCTGTCTCAAAATAACCAAACCAAACCTAATATTATACTAATAACCTTGTTCACAGCATTATTCAAATTTGCTCTGTCTGGCTGTGACTTGGGTGACTGAACTGTAAGGGAGAAGGACTTAGTTTCTTCAGTGAGCTTTCCCCTAGACCTTCCGTGTGCCTCCGTGAAGGCTCCCCATCACCATCTCCAGGAGTGTGGTGCGAGTGCATTCCCTGCAATTAAAGCCCGAGGGTTGGCTCTGTGAGTAAAAGCATATACTGCTCCCACCCTGAGGGCGGCTCCCACCTGCCTGGAATGCTAGATCCACTGTACTCACACTCAATACACATGCATACACAATAAAAAATAAGGAGCCCTACAATGCAGTTACAAAGAAACAATTGAAAAAACAAACAACTAAAAAGACCACAAGCTCTTTTAGGGCCTGGAGAGATGGTTCAGCAGATAAGAGCACTTGCTGTTCTAATGGAGGACCTCTGCCTCTCGTGCACACGGCTGTACCTGCCCTGCCTCTCCTCTCCTGCACACGGCTGTACCTGCCCCCGTCTCTCCTCTCATGCACGTGCACTTAGTTGTACCTGCCACTGATCTCTGTATCTTATTTATTTGTTTGTTTGAGACAGGGTTTCTCTGTATTGCTTTGGAGCTTGTCCTGGAAACTCACTCTGTAAACCAGGCTGACCTTGAACTCACAGAGATCGGCCTGCCTCTGCCTCCTGAGTGCTGGGATTAAAGGCATGTGCCACCAATGCCCGGCCTGATCTCTGTATCTTGTGCGCATGATTGTACCGGCCTCCATCTCTGCATCTTGTGGGTGCGGCTATTCCTGACCCTGATCTCTGGGTCTCGTGCAAATGGTTATACCTGCCCGTTCTTTAGGAACTGCACATCCACTGTCATCTTTCGCAAGATATTTCCAAAATTGTAGTCCAGGTTCCTGCCATGGTAAATGTGGCCTTGGGCGTCTTGGGCCACGATACTGGTGCAGAATCTGAGCAAAGGGATAATTCCAACAAGAATGAAGACAACAGGAACAAAGAATGAGATTTCTGTTTTTGAAACAAATCCTCAAAGCAACAGGTTTTCTTCCTTATTGTGGACATAAATGCTATAATATGCTCTTGTACAAGGATATGAAATGACAGTTGTGGCTGGAAGATACAATTGGACACAATGCATCTAGACCCTTCCATCAGGCCACATGATTCTGCTACAGATGATGAGATGAGAGTTTAATCTTCCCCACGTCCTGTGTGTGTGCAAGGCACAGCCAGACCTGAACCCTGCTTGCTGGTGTGTTACCTATTACCATGTTACTCAAAGTTAGCCCAAGAGAGCTGGGCGCTGGTGGCGCATGCCTTTAACCCCAGCACTCGGGAGACAGAGGCAGGCGGATCTCTACGAGTTTGAGGCCCAGCTGGTCTACAGAGCAAGTGCCAGGACAGCCACCAAAGTTACAGAGAAACCCTGTATCGAAAAGCCACAAAACAACAACAAAAAAACCAGTTAGCCCAACTTGTCCTCTTCATATTATGCATTGTTAGGACAAACACACACACACACACACACACACACACACACACACACACACACACACACACACACACACACACACACACACATACACACACACACACACACACACACACTTAAATTAAAAGGAACTCCAGAGCTGGGTGGTGGAGGCAAATGTCTTTAATCCCAGCATTCGGGAAGCAGAGGCAGGTAGATCTCTGTGAGTTTGAGGCTAGCCTGTTGTACACAGACAGTTTCAGGCCAGACAGGGCAAGCTTGCTACAAAATAGATAACTGAGTGAATACAAAATATCTTTTAAATAAAGTTTTCTGTACTACTTATTTTTTGTGATCATTCACTGTTACTTTTATAATTAGAAAAAACCAGTATTACCTCACTGCTTGGTTTGTTTAAAGAAGAAAGCTTGGTGAGGTTTTGACTCCTAAGGACCTCAAAGGTAGTGGGTGAGTGATTAAAGTCTGCAGGACTGCTCTCAAAGTTGGTATTTTCTGAAGAATGGCAAGAGGACCACCAAGGGGACCACTATTGCCAAGTCATTTTTTGGCATGTCCTGGAACTCACCATCTAGACCAGGCTGGCCTCAGACTCACAGAGATCCTCCTGCCCATGTCCCAAGTGCCAGGATTAAAGGTGTGCACCACCATTCCTGGTGTGCAAGTCTTTCAGTGTGACCCCCTCCTGAAGAAGGACGGGGACAAGGACGTGCATCCTCTGCTCCAGGAGAGGCACTGTGGGCAGCCTTGGAACTCACCAGCCACCAGAGAGCTGGCAAATGTTCTCTCTGAGGCTTGGTTTCCATATCACAAACCGGAAGAAGCCACCTTCCCCCCAGGCCTGTGCCCCTACGTGGCCTGAGGCTACAAAGATTCAGCAGGACATAATTAGCTCACATGGCCAGCCTTCAGAAGTGAGGGCAGAACATTTCCAACCTGACCCTGAGGGCGCTTTACAAAGAAAATTAGGCAATTTAACAAACCTTACCTGAGACACAGAGTAAAATTAACTTAGTTCCCTTTGAAAGGCACTTGAGTTTGGCAGCCTAGAGTACACAGGAGTCTACCCTGGAAAGGCAGGCAGTAGATCGCTTCGGGACTCTGCTTTTCTGGGGTTGGAAAGTTGCCAAAGAATAGTTTGTTATTCCACCAACTTCCCTTCATTCATCTTTTTTTAAATCTTCTTTTACTTATTCATTTTTGTGAGAAACAGGGTTTCTCTGTGTGTCCCTGGCTGTCCTCGAACTAGCTCTGTAGACCAGGCTGGCCTTGAACTCAGAGATCTCCCTGCCTTGAGTGCTGGAACTAAAGGTGTGCTCCTTCATCCTAAGGCAGTCAGGAGCTATTGGCATCTACTGGCTGTCCATGCAGGGTAGGAAACAGTAAGTGCGGCAGTCGAGGGTCTTCCTCTACTGATTCTACATTGTTTTCATTTGTGTGGGAGAGGGGAGAGGGCTTGCGTCACAGTGAGCTTCTGGAGGTCAGGGGACAAGCAACGGTAGTCAGTTCCCCCTTTCCGCTATGTCTCAGGGATTGAACTGAACTCATGCTCACACCAACACCCCCCCTTACTTTTTAGACATGTTCTCCCACTGAACTTGAAACAGCAAGTTCCCATGATCCTCCTCTCTTCTCCCACCCCAATGATTGGGTTACAGGCACTTGAGGCCACCGGCAGCCAGAGATCAGAATTCAGGTTCACTCCATCCGCCACAGGCACTCTTATCCACAGAGTCACCGCCCCAACCCTTGAGTGATTTGGAAAGAGGGATGACCTCTAGATTGATGACAAGATAAAACAAAGTTTTGGGTAGAGCGGCTGCTTCCTCCGGGAAGTCCACCAGACAGAGACCTAAGGTGGTTTCCAAACTGCAGTGACTAGCTTTATCTCACAGCAAACATACCGCCGCCCACTCATCGTGGGTGACAGTCTCGGCCAGGTGACAGTCAACTGACTTTAACCCACCCTCCCATGGGGCACTTACGCGGAGGCCTCATAGGCCAGGTTGACCAAGATACCGTCGGCCAGGCTGAGGTTGAGGAAGTTGCATATACCGCGGATCTCGTCGGTGAAGGGCTGGGGCAGGAAGCTCTCCACCTTCGACACCACCTCTCCGATCACCCCGAGTACCCACTGGGGAACTCTGTCGCTAGAAACGGCAACGCACGAAGCTTGTGTCTCCAGCTCAGAGCATGCAGGGTGCAAGTGTGTGTGGACTAGGGGCAGGGAGAGTCTAGACTTTCCCAGAACTGAAGCGCTGCACCACGCCGCTCCATTTCCAGAATCCAAAGCGGAGGGAATGAGCCGCGAGCCGTAGTGTCGGGTCATAATCCCAGCTCTCAGCAGGCCGAGGCAGGAGGTTCACAATTAAGGCCAGTTTATGCTACACAGGAAGTCTTTAACTGTTTTTCTCCCAACACAATGTTTGTATTAATTATTTGGGAATTTCATACAGCGTACCCACATCACACTAGCTTCCCATTCCTCCAGGGTCCATCCTCTCCCTTGCACCCCTCTCGCCCCGCCAAAAACAGAAAAATACCAGGTGCAATTTGTGTTATCCATATACTCATTGGAGCAGGGTCAAACTCCCAGAAAGACTTTCAAAATAAAAATTATAAGGGCTGACTTAACACCCAATGGTGGAGCACTCGCCTCCATCTCCAATGAGTGCCAAGCACCCTGGAGAGAAAGGGCGGTCAGGCTGGTCCGGGATGTTTAGCCCACTGAGTGACACCTTGTGCATCGCGCTGACCCGGAAAACGTCTGGAAGGCGCGCGCCTGCCACCGGCGACCCCGAACTTAGGAACCTAACTGGCCTTGTTGTGTCAGCCACCCTCTGGGCGCTGCATGGAGCAGTGGGGAGGGCACGGGTGCAGCACCGAGGGGGAGGGGCAGAGTCTGGCTGCAAGTTCACAGGACCTGTCCCGCGGCTCACCCGATGACCTCTGCCACCGCGGCGCGCACGAAGTCCGGGTCGTAGTGCTGCAGCATGGGCAGCCAGCGCTGTTCCGGGGCCGCGTCCAGACTGACGTTGAAGAGTGGCGGAGCTCCGGGGACACCAGCCGCCAGCCAGGGCCCCGGCAACAGCAGCAGAGCCAGTGCCAGATGTGCCCCATGGCCCGCAGCTCCGGTGGCTCGGGTCCCCATGGCTCGGACTCCTGAGGCTACCACCCCACCACCGAGCCTTCACCAGTCCGGGAAGTGAAGCGGGAGGCATCGGGGCGGTGCTAGCACTGAAGGCGGAGCCTGCCCTAGGTCGCCCCACCCATCACCAGGAACCCAAGCAGTGACAGCTGCCTCCTGCACTAGCAAGATTAAACTTGCTTCTCACTCACAATTTGAGGCCGCATCACACCTCCGTGGGCCGAGACTGAGCTGTAGTGGTCCAGGGCGTTAAGGTCCTACAGTGATAGAAAGACATCTTTGTCTCCTTAGTCTGCATTTGCTCATTTTAAAACTCTCTGAAGGGCAGAACTTCTATGCAAAACCCCCTAAAAATTTAACCATTTTTGTTGACACCTATTTATCAACACAAGACAAATGGCAACTCCTAATTAATTCACATTCTATTGGTGGCCGAGCTTGGAGGGAATTCACCTGCCTGGGGCCACAGGCGGAGGAGCCTTTGCCTTCCTCTGTTGGGTTGTTTGAATCCAAAGCCTATCTTAGCAAATCTCCAACCTGAATCCCCCTTGACTCATCTAAACTGTCCCTAATATCTGAGAGACTGAATGTGTAAAGTCACCTTGGTAAGACCCAAACATTCTTATGAGACAGCAGAATTGCCTATAATCAAATAGCTAAATGTGCTCAAGAAACTTGGGAATTCATTTTGTTCAGGTGTTCCCATCCCTCTATCATAAAAAAATGGAGTCTTTATTTTTACTATTTTATGTACATGTGTGTTTTGCCTGCCTGTATTTCTGTACACCTTATTGTGCCTAGTGCCTGAGGCGGCCACATTAGGGCTTCAGATCCTCTGGAACTGGGGTTGTAGACGGCAGTGGGTACTGGGAATCAAACCCAGGAAACCTCTGAGCCATCTCTCCAGCCACTACGGCCATCCTTCCTTAGCCCTGCCCTCCAGTAGGGGCCACCGCTACCTCTGATTTGTCTACTTTTATGACCTGTATGCTATTAAGCTCAAGAACCTTTCGTTTCCTTAAGTCCTATTTCATTGTTCAAAGCAAATGTCCCATCTGTAGCTTAAGAGCAAGCAGCTAGACACTGAGAGCCATTCCTTAGCTACACACGGAAGCCATGGCTCTTCTGTGCTAGATAAATAATGCACAAAGTGTTGGGATCAAGTTTCTAGAGGGAAGTTCCCTGGCTCAGGGACCCACAACCACGTCATGACCCCTCCCCAGCAATCACTGTGGGTTTTTGTTTTTTGTTTTTGTTTTTGGAGACAGGGTTTCTCTGTGGCTTTGGAGGCTGTCCTGGAACTCGCTTGGTAGTCCAGGCTGGTCTCATCTGCCTGCCTCTGCCTCCCAAGTGCTGGGATTAAAGGCGTGTGCCACCAACGCCCAGCCTCTCAGCTCTTTATTAACCAATGAGAATAATACATATTCACAGTGGACAGAAAGACTATTCCACAGCATTGGGCCCTCCCGCATCAATCACCAACTAAGAAAATGCCCTACAGGCTTGCCTACAGCTCATCTTCTGGAGGCATTTTCTCATCTGAGGCTCCCTCCTCTCCAAGGACTCTAGTGTGTGCCGACTGACATAAAAGTAGTCAGCACACCAAGGAACTAGTCAGCACACCAAGGAATTAGTCAACACACCAAGGAACTAGTCAGCACACCAAGGAACTAGGGACTCTTTTTTTTTTTTTTTTTGGTTTTACAAGACAGGGTTTCTCTGTATTGTTTTGGAGGCTGTCAGACCAGCCTGGCCTCGAACTCACAGAGATCCTCCTGCCTCTGCCTCCCGAGTGCTGGGATTAAAGGCATGCGACATCACCGCCAGGCAGAACTAGGGACTCTTGCTGAAGTTGCCACCTGTTTTCTTCTTGCTCATAGTAAAATGTGTGAGGAGATTTGGGAATGGTTTTGAAAATTTCCAGGTCCAAACTTTATACAGGAACCTGGTTTTTTTTTTTTTACAGATATACCATGTCCCACCTGTGGAGATATTTGCACTGTAACTGACAAGAAGTAGCATCCACGGGCTAAAGGTGCTTGCTGCGGTATCCTGAGGAAGAGGGCTTGAATCTCAGCAACTGTGTCGGGCAGCTCATGAAGGCCTGTAACTGCAGCCCCAAAGGGTCTCCTTGGGCACATCCACACACATGTGAGCGTATGTTCTCACACACACATAAACAAAAATGCATCTTTAAGAAAGAGGGGTGAAGCACTCAGAAACAAAGCAAAGGTTAAAAGCGCTACAAAGAAAACCAAACTGAGTAACAAAATGTGATTATCTCCCCTCCCCAGCACCACTGAACTATGTATTAAAACATTCAATCACTTCACAGGTAAAAGTCTACAGTTTTGAAGTCTAGTAACATTGTGTTGATATGGCTGCAGTAAAATAGGCTTGTGGGTGGGGCTACAATGAAATTTAACATTATCCAATACCAAGGAAACACAGCCTTTCCAACCTAGCAATTCCATTTCTAGCAAAGACACTTGTTGCCCATTATCTAGTTTGTATAAAGAAAAAAAAAGAAAACTGTTAGAACATGTATTCTAGATGCATTCACACACGCTTACTACTCATGGCTCTGTAGAGGACATGAGGTCTTTTTGCTCACAGATAAGCGAAACTAGGAATGTTAAGCACACAGGCTTGTCTCTGCAACAGAAGGGTTGTATACCCATTTTCACCCAGAAGTCTGGGAGAGGATGTAGTTAATAGTCTGGTGACTTTTGCTACCTGTAGGGCCAGGCCACATCCAAATGCCCCAGACTACTAGTTTATCCCAGACTCTTCCTCCCTAGACCTATATCTTTAGCTCTGTTTTTCAGTCAATAGAACCCAGCTACATGTACTTTGTAGCCTGGTGACCTACAATATCTGTATGACCAAGTCCACACCTGCTCCTCCCCAGGTTCTTAAGCTTAGTTGTGCACATGGGATTGAGATAGTTGTCACCAGCAAACCTTTTTTTTTCCTTCCCAAAATTGCACTGTACTTGAATGCCTGAAGAACAAACTGTCCCTGCCAGGACTCTAGAAGTTTGAACCAATACTGAGTGGTGCTGAACCAGCTTCCTTCTTGCCTCACGCGGATGGTTTCTCTACAGGTCGTTTCTCTGCGTATTATTTCTCTGTGGTCCAGACCTTAGCATTGGCAGGGATGCCCTCAAAGTTCTAAACAGCGGAAACATGTAACTTCTTTTTGTCAGGAAAACAATAAATTACGAATGGTTGAATAAAGACTGCAGCATTTAACAAAATGAAAAATGCATTTATGAAGAACATAATCCCGGGCCTGGAGAAGATGGCCAAGTTGGAAAAGCACTTGCTGCATAAGCATGAAGACCTGAATTTATATCCTGGCAGCCACATCAAAAGCCAGTGCCAGAGCCGGGCGTTGGTGGTGCACGCCTTTAATCCCAGCACTCGGGAGGCAGAGGCAGGCGGATCTCTGTGAGTTTGAGGCCAGCCTGGTCTACAAAGCGAGTTCCAGGACAGCCTCCAAATCTATAGAGAAACCCTGTCTCAAAAAAAAAAAAAAAAAGCCAGTTCCGGGGAGGCAGAGACCGAGGGCCCCAGGCCTGTCCGCCCAATTGCCTGTCACTGAGGGAACTAAACTGCACACCCTGCTTATCAAATCAGTGAGCGAGCAACCGGGTGTCAGAAAGAAGACATCTGATGCTGGCTGGCCTCTAGCCTCCATGAGCACCCCCCCCCACGGAAGCTAATGCTGAGTTACAGCCAGCACAAGTGTAGATTGATACTCTTTATGTAAATTTTTAAGATACTAAACAATACCGTGCTGAACATATATACACATGCTACAGGAATGGCAGGCATCAACCCTGAGGTTAGCGGCTCTCTTGAGGGAGGAGTCATGGTGAGAACTTCAATTCCTTATAGTTAACTTCTTCCCTTTTAGACAGGCGCTTGGAATGTAATGCATAGCTCAGGCTGACCCCAACGGTCTGCCTCTTCTGCCCTCGCCCCGTGTACTGGGGTTACAGCTGTGTAGTATGATGCCGGTTTCTGTGCCTCCATTCTTTAATAAAAGTAACACGACATGTAACACTGAGTCCGTAAATGTTTCATTGTGTTCTATTTAAAGTCACAGCTATAAAATGTTTTTATCTTTCAAAAGGAGGAAGGTTCAAGTGTCCTTGAAACAGTAAGCTGTGAGGAGTATTGTCTATTCCTGACCTGCTTCCTGAGTGATTCCTTTTTTTTTTTTTTTTTTTTTTTTTTTTTTGGTTTTTCGAGACAGGGTTTCTCTGTGGCTTTGGATGCTGTCCTGGAACTCACTTTGTAGACCAGGCTGGCCTCGAACTCACAGAGATCCGCCTGCCTCTGCCTCCCGAGTGCTGGGATTAAAGGCGTGCGCCACCACCGCCCGGCTCCTGAGTGATTCCTTTAACTCCTGCTTTTTTGCAACTTTTCCCAGAGAATGGTGGCTCCCATCTTGCCCGTTGGCTTAACTCCTTGGTCCAATTTCCCATGATGCTGATTTAGGAACAGATTGCCCTAACGGCCTTTGGCTGAGGTGAAACTAGTGCTGTTCCTGGCTTTTCAAAGGATGCTTTGTACAATGTAAATTACTAGAATGTCTATAACAGAGACAGAAAGGCCAGTCAGACATACTTTTCCCACACACCCAGCAACCATTTTCATATGGCTGTTTTAAAACAAGTACCATTACGGTATGCGCCTCAAGGGAAAATTGTCATTTAAAGAGTGACATTCTTTTCTATCAGGACTCTGTTTGCATTCAAAGAACTCTCTTATGTGTTTGTACAAAAAAAATCATGTATCTATTCTTACACATTAAAAAAATTAAAATAAAAATTGAAATTAAGATATTGCTTAAGGGGGCTGAAGAGATGGCTCAGAGGTTAAGAAGCACTGACTGAGTTCAATTCCCAGCAACCATATGGTGGCTCACAACCATCTACAATTCTGGCATGTAGGCAGAGCACTGTGTATGCGACAAATAAATAAATCTTAAAAAAAAAAAGATATTGCTTAAGTGTCTTTACATTCGGGGTTAATGCTTCCAAACAGCCATCTGACTTGATGTAGATGCCACTGTTCCCCGCCCCCACATTACCCTCTGTGCCATTGAGCCTTGAGGGTTAGGATGGTTCAGTGGGTAAAGCACTTGCTGCTTAAGGAGGAGAAGCTGAGTTTAGATCTCCAGCAATTCCCTCTCCCCGAAACATGGTGACTCATGCCTATAATCCAGAGCTGCGGTGGCAGGTGAGGGAGAGACAGGTAGATTCCAGGGGGTAGCCTAGCCAACCAGTGAGAGACTCAGTGACCCCAGCTGTGTACACATGTACACAGAACCTCGGTGAGTCTGCTCTGGAGACAGGAGCCATGCAGCCTGGAACTTGCTTCACAGACCAAGCAGGCTTTGGATTCACAGCAGTGTGCTTTAGAGCCTTCCAGCACTGGGTGTGCACACCACTGTGTCCGGAAAGCTACAGTACCCAAGAGTGCACTAAGACGCAGGCTCTAAAACGATGCATGTTTCCAGCCGAGCTGGATACTGTGAGGTGGGCTGTAATGTTCACCAAGCTTAAGTGTCCTCAGCGCTGTAACACTTTGAGATGGGGTCTCCTGTATCCCAGGCAACCCTGAGGCTTCTGTGAGGTGTTGATACCACAGGCGTGCCCAATCATGCCTGGCCTATGTGGTATGGGAATTGAAACCAGGAGTTTGCATATGCTACACAAGCACTTTACTAAGCTACATCACACACCACCCCCGGTACTTGTACTTTTCTGTTAACAGTAGCTTAAAATGTTTCAGCATTTTTCCCCCTGTATTTTCTTACCAGCTACTAAGCCCCATTCCCCAAGGTGGGATGCTAGTGCCTGTGTAAGCAAGGACAATACGCTGTCATAAGGATGCAAGAACTTAAAACATATTCCAGTTTCAGAGGTTAATACAGAAAAGCCTTAGTATCACTTTTTAGGTATTATATGCTGATTTAACCTCAGGTGGTAATGGCGCATGCCTTGAATCTCAGCACCTGGGAAGCCCAGGCAGGAGGCTTACCTCTGAGTCTGAGGCCAGCCTGGTCTACAAAGTGAGTTCCAGGACAGCCAGGGCTACACAGAGAAACCCTGTCTTGAATAACTAAAAACTAAACAAACAGCTTAGGTTTCCCAATAACAGTGTTTGCGCCTCCTGTGTGTGTTTTGAGACTTTTAAACTCCCCATCCCTTCCGCCTCAGCCTCAGGTGGGCACACATCCAGCTTGTTCCTTGGTTTAAAATCACGTCCACCGCAACTGTTGCTTAATGGTTTAACTGAGCTGGCGTGGGTGTGAGGTGTCCCCGCAGACTGTTAGCTGGAGTTAAGAGCCTTTAGGAGCTGGGGAATGGCCGGAGGAAGTGAGCCGACGCACAGTGTGAGCTTCAGGCTTTTCTTCTACCTTCTGGGCTTCAGAAGAGAGACATCTTAGCCACACACTGGCACCCATGACCCTCCCTCCACAAAGGTTGTCCTTCAAACTGGGAATCAAAACAAATCCTTGCTAAGTCGCTTCTTGCCAGGTATTTGGTAAGAGCAAGGAGAAAGTGGCCAACTATAGTGTATTTTGCCTGTCCTTTAGAGATGTTGAATCTCTTGTCACTCAGTGTTGCAGTCCCTGCAGTGAAATGACCATGAATTCATGTTTTCATATAAAAAGCTCAAAGATAGAAACTGCAGCTCTTGCCATATTCTATCATTTGGACAACGAAAATCTCAAAAGTAGGATTTAGCTAAAGCTCATGATTTATTTTACTCTATGCAAACTGTAAGCCATTTTTCCTCTTAAGAACCATGTTAATGGTACTTTAAAAATAGATTAATGATGGGGATGACATTCTGTATACATATTTCTCTTATTGGATGATGAATAAAACACTGTTTGGCTAATAGGCAGGAAGACAGACGGGACTAGGAGACCAGAATTCTGGGAGAGGTAGGCAGAGAGGTGCCGCGAGAGGACGCCATACTCCCAAGGAGTAACATGCTGGATTATGGGTAAGTCACAGCCTGGTGGCAATACATAGATTAAGAGAAATGGGTTAATAATTAAGACACAGCTAGCCAATAAGAATCCCTAGCCAGTGGCCAGCAGTTTTATAACTAATATAGCGTCTCTGTATGTTTATTTGGGGCTGAAGAGGCAGGGGGACCAGGCAGGACAAGAGAAACTTTCAGTAATTGATTTTTTCCTTATTCGTATGGGTATTTTGTCTGTATGCATGTGTGTGTACCGTGCATGCCTGGTGCCCTTGTGTTGGGCATTGGACCCCTGCAGTTACAGACACCTTACAGTTATAAGTCACCACATGGGTGCTGGGAGTCAAACACAGATCATCTGCAAGAACACCAGGTGCTCTATACCATTGGGCCACCTCTCCAGCCTCTGCTTAATGGCACTTCTGACAACATTAAGTATAAATTACGAGCAGGACTCAGAGAGGGTCCTAGAGGATGTTTCTAGACCCCAGGAAGCCAGCGGGGAAATAAGGGAGAGGAGACAAACGGCTCTGGGCACTCTGAAATCACCCCGTCCTGTCCAGGCCTGGAGTGCATCTGGGTGGTAGATCACGGGTTCCACATGCGCCAGGGTCCTCAGCTCGATTCCAGCACCCTGGGGGTGGGTGGGGGAGGGAAGACAGACGGATGGACATGACGACACGGGATCTCCTAATTACAGAGAAGTTTCACAAGGATGATTCTCCACAAACCTTTATTCGCCATCTCGTTTTGTCTGTTTCTTACACAATGATGTAAGTAAAAACATACACCATGGGGGGGTGCGGGAGGAGGGGAGGGAGAGGGAACTGGGATTGACATGTAAAACAAGCTATTTAAAATTAATAAAAAAGAATATGTTTTCATTAAAAAAATACACCATGACTCAGAAAGTAGAAGGAAAACACACCTTATACATGATCCCAACAACCCCGTCCCCAGAATATTTGGCACATTTTCTGTATGTTTTTTATAATCTCCCACATGTATACTGGATTTTACTACAAGTACTTCTCATCCTTTAACCACTTAGACTGATAAAACACACAGACAGAATCTGCAAGAGAAGGTAACAGAGAACCTATGCAAACAGAAGAGCATGCTATGTGACTGCAGCAGAAGCAACTGTGGCCTCTGCATCTTTACAGAGGTGAGAAGGACCAGGAAAGGGCTTCCCCCAGCAGCCTGGACCGCAACTAGATTTCCAGGTGCCGCGGATTCCTTCTTGTAGTCCAGATCTCTCCACCCTTCTTGGTTTCATATCCCCCTTCCCAGACAGGGTTTTGCTATCTTGCTATGTAGCCCAGACTGGCCTCAAACTCACAGCAACTTCCTGCCCTGCCTCATTCTCTTACGAGACAGGGTTTCTCTGTATTGTTTCGGAGGCTGTCAGTCCAGCCCGGCCTCGAACTCACAGAGATCCTCCTGCCTCTGCCACCCGAGTGCTGGGATTAAAGGCATGCGCCACCACCGCTTGGCTGGCTGAATGTTCTTAAATCTCAGAAAATACACTCCAACCATGCAAGGAATTAATGAGAGGACACTACCTGTGGGAGCAACATTATCTATGTACAGCTTAAACATCTGCTAAGCTTAAATAGAAAACTCAAAACAAGTAAACATTTTAGTTAAACTAGAATTTTAATGCAATATTCTATATATATTCTAAATTTTCAATGAATCAGAAAATGAATAAAAACAAAATTTGTGTTAACTACATCCTTTAAAAAATTATACTAACAGCATGTTGACTTAACCACAGGCCTCAAGAACAAGTTGTCTACAGCGCCGCCCTGCCCACCACGGGGAATGGGGATGCTCAGCCCAGTGTGAAGACTCAGTGTGTGTCTACTGTAGTGACCGGATCGTGATGAAGCATGGCTGTATCCTCACGGAACGTCATGTTTCCCTCAACATGACCCAAACACTGTGTGTGCAGCCGCAAGCACCTAACAGTGCTTTATTTTATACACAGTGGACATTCAGCATGTATTTTAAAATAGCTGTCAAAACACTGGCCTTGGTGGCTAAAATAAACACAGCAACTTAACTAATACAAGAAAAAAAGGAAAGGAAAAAAGCCCACCAAAACACAACTTACTCAGAGAGAGGTAGGCGGTGTAACATTTACAGACAGCCTTGGCAGGCAGGGGTTAAATCAGGTGTTCACACAGTGCTGTGCCCTCGACACTACAGGACACACCTAACTAGCACTAGGGATTCGGCAGAAGAGGTGTGTGGCACTTCTATACCAGTGAAATTGGCTAATGTCACACAGGAAATGTGCTGGTATTCTGGGTTTATATGCTGAGGCCTGGCCATGACCCCTAGTAGCCCCGCGTGTGCCTGAAACCCCAGTAGCTGGGCGGTGCGGGCCGGAGGAGCTACAACAAAGCTCAGCTGCAGCTGGAGTGAGAGCCCCGCTGACTTCAGGGCTGACACACATCTGCACCCACACTTCCCCACCACTGTGCTGGGTGAGGGAGGCTGCTGGGCAATCCCCTAACAGTCACCCAGGCACCATTCGGGAAAGTGACGGGGCAGAACAATGAAAAGGGGAAAGGGGAAGCGAACAGTAGAAGCTGCTACTAATTCAGAGGGGCAGAAAACTGCCCTTTCCTCTAATCCAAACATGCAACAGCTTCTCATTACAAGATTACCTAAGCTATCTGAGGCAAAAGGCACCAACCATTTCTAAATCCAGTGGCCTGCATGCAGAGCGGGTCCCACAAGGGATCAAGAGTGCCTGCTCACTGCACACACCTATCTGACATTAATCATGTAAGCATTGATGAGAACAAGGCAAACAATGGGTTGAGTTGAGAATGAAGGGAGCTGACTGAGCCAATGGGAAGAGTCGGCAGTCTGGGCTGGACTCGAAGCTCAGAGGCAGCGAATCCACTTAGTGGGAAACAAAAGGCCCTAGGGTTGGTCCGAAGCACAGCAACAAAAACAAATCCCCAGCAACAGACACAGAGAACAGGCCCCTCGACAAGAAATCCCTGGCAACAGAGAACAGGCCTGGAAAGTTCTAAGGCTGCCTGCGTTTCTGGTTGGGGTTTCACTATGCAGCCCAGGCTGCCCCTGATAACTCAGTACATCCCAAGTTGGTTCTAATCCAACGAGCCTCCTGCCTTAGCTTCTGGAATGCTGGGATTATGGGTGTGTGTCACTCACCTTGCTAAACATTTCAAAATCACTAGACTTAAGGCGATTTAAAAAGCGAGGTCTTAGCCAAAACTTTTTATATAAACAAAACAAAACGGATGGATTGTGTACCCAGTCTATACAGCAGGAAAGCCTATTTACAAGCAAGACCCTCTTACTCTTGTAACGCTGTCCTGTTTGAAGAGCATGCACAACTCCCATCCCTGCACTTAGTGAGGAGCCCCAGGGCCCTGGAATAGGGACTATTTACAGCTCACTATAAACAACTTATGTACACCTGCTATGTATGCAGCAGCAATTAGGAGGCACTTGGTATAAGAGATCTTAACATCACTACTATTTACATTTCACATTCCCACCAGTCCCACCTCCAAATTAAAAATACTAAATTGTTTCAAAAGTTACTGTGGTTTCTAAACTAGGTTCTTGATCTTTTAATGTAAGCAAATGTTTGCTAGCGTCTGGCAGATGGATAACTTGCTGCTAAGTTACTTCATTCTTTTCCTCTTCTTCAAAAGTGCATCTCGCAGTGCCAGCTGCAAGAGAAGAGGAGAAAGCATCAGCAGGGAGAACTTGTTTCACCAACTGGGCCATCAAGTAACAAGTAAGAACCACGCGTCATCAGCCATCCCAAAACATCACACAGTGAAGTATTTCCTACAGGTTCCAATGCAGGTCGGCAAGATGGCTCAGTGGGTGAAGGCGACTGCTGCCACCCAGTAAGACCACCTCACCATATGTCACCGCCATAACTTCTTTTCAACGGCTCATACTTGAAGACATTAATTAATATTAGGAGTCAAACCTCTGGGAATTAGGCTCAAGACAAATATTTCTTCCTAGTTAACTCAGGCTCTTAACTTTAAAAGACTTTACTTTTATTAGTATGTGTGTGCACGAGTCATGGTCCCCCGTGGAGGTCAGAGGGCACCTCTGTGGAACTGATTCTCTCTCTGCACTTCATGGGTTCCTGGACTTTACCTGCTGAGCCATTTCCTCATCTCAGGCTCTAAGTTTTTTAATTTCTTTAGTCATCCTGTGTCAGGTAAAAAGAATGTGTGATGTCTGTGTTCTAGTTGGACGTGACTGTCTTCTAGCTACAGGAACTGGGGGCTCCTGCAATAACGATACTCAAGGTAGAATTTGAAGGCTGACTTCAAGGCCTGGGGGGGGAGAGACACAGAAAAAACGTCTGCAGTGACCTTATGCTTCCTACAGAAAGTGTCCCCTGACTTCAGGGGTGGCACCCAGCACTTGTCTGCTCCTCTCGGCACTTAGAGGTACAGGTGTCCACTCAAGATCTCTAAGCCTCACCAGACAGCCCACAATACTAAAGGCTATTAAGAACAAGCCCAAGTTTTAAGCAGGCAAGCAAGCTCAAGGCACACATCTTCAGTGTGTGATGAACAATTATCCCATTAATCCCCAAATATGACTCTTTGTTCCAGCTACTTGAAGAGATCTGGTTTCTTATTTACTAAGGTGTGTTAACTTGTGCTTTGTTTAGAAGGCATTTCTGGGAGCCAGATATCATGACTCACACCTTCAGCACCTGGCAGGCTGAGTCAGAAAGATGGAATTCAAGACCAGTCTGGGCTCATACTCATGGGAAACCCTGCCTCAAAAATATAAAAACCATTCTAGGATGGACGTGGCCTGGTTTTGCATCTAAACCCTGTGAAGTTCTGCATTTTCTGTCTCCATGCTCCCTGCTGGAGAAAGAATCTCTTTGTAGGCAGGTGGGTTGTTAGGACAGTATCTTAATAGGTTTGGCTAAGGAGGTCTAACACTCTCAGTGTCTTGTTGGCTGTGTGTGTTTACACTTCACTCAGTGGACCTGCTCATGCGCGTTACCGAGAAGCCCTGAGTAGTTAAGCTGCAGGCTCTTCACTCACAGGACCTGCGTGTGCATGCTACTCGGAAGTCCTGACTAGTTAAGCTGCAGGCCAAGCCCATCTCAGCGCCGGCTAGCTACCCGAGTCAGCACAACTATTTGTACATCTCACTCCTTCCCCCTCCAAATGCCATCAGCTGAAAGAAGGCATGCCTACAGTCCCTTCTCTCCCTGTGAGTGCCACACAGTGAAAGACCCACAGGGGGGAAGCGTTGGTCTTTCCTAGAGGGTACGGGGACTCTCTGAGCATCTGACATGAGGCGCACGCACACACGCACGCACGCTTGCACGCTTCAGTATCACACACACTAAAACAGGAATAGAACCCTGAATTTTAATTAGTTAACACAAATACAAAATATCTCAATAACTTCTGTATTGATTAGCTGTTAGAATTACTTTCACATATTAGGTAAATCAAGGTATACTACTAAAATTAATTTTATTATCTTTACTTTCAAGCACTGATCCTGCCCCAGCCTCCCGAGTTGCTGGGATTACAGATGTGAGCCACTACACCCAGCCTTATTATCTTTACTTAAAAATAATACTAGATGCATCTTTTTGTTTTTGTTTTTCGAGACAGGGTTTCTCTGCCTCACCCTGGCTGTCCTGGAACTCCCAGTGTAGACCAGGCTGGCCTTGAACTCACAGAGACCTGCCTGCCTCTGCCTCTAAGTATTGGGACTAAAGGTGTGTGCCACCACTGCCCAGCTTACTTGATACATATTATGTTCACTTTAAACACTGATGGTCTAAGTGCAGCTGAGACAATATGGAAAGTCAGGAACAAGAGTTATGTTCTATAACGAATAAAGCCTGAAGAAACTGCAGGCAAGGAAACAAATGCAGGAATGCTGATTCACTTGTCAGTCCCAGCAGCAAGACAACTGCAGGATGAAGAAACATTCTTAAACCAGCAGCCGTGAGTGTGTCATTCTTAGTTTAGTCTCAAATGTCTAGTCTTTGAGGGCAATGTTTTCAATCTGAAGCACTGCTGAGGATGAAAGCCCAGCTTCTCTATCATGCTAAAACCCGGCATTCTACAAAGCAGGATGTGGGGAGTGAGGCCCTACACCAAATTAACCTTGCAGACACAAGGCTGCCAACAGCAAGGCTGCCATTTCCTCAACTCCATGACGTTAGGAAGGCTCCGAAGGACGGTCTAGTCAATTCAACTATGTGGCAAAACCGGAGCCTTTATTTAGAGATGCCATCACTTTATTATCTACAGTGTTAAACACAGATTACAAGTAAAGAATGGCACACAGTCAGAGCTGCCCGGAGGGCTGGCCACTATACTGTCTTGGCAGGTTGCTGTTGGTTAGCTCCCAGGAAGGACAGTTCAGAGACTGGGTAGCCTGGAACTGCACAGATTCTCTACAGTGGCTTCAGAATGACATGTGATAAGCTCTGGCATGCTCCCAGAAGAGGAAGACACATGGCGTCAATCTGTTTACTACAGTGCATCACTGACATGAGCAGGCCACCGAGCAGCATGACTGCCGGGCCGTGCATGTAGCACATGCCTGCAATCAGGAAGCAAAGCAGCACCCAGGTGGCTGAAGCAAGCGACTCTCTGCAGAAAGCCAGCCTGGGTGCGTTCAAGCCACTAGAAAGCACACAGGAAGACCCTGTCGTGACACGAAGCAGGCAAGCAAACCAGCTAAGTGACAATGGAGAGAAATCCCAAAGGCTGGCGGACACGACACTCTCTGGGAAAGGACACACAGACTCACAACACAGCAGGACTGAGTGCCGAAAGCTAGTCCCACACCACCGCGGGACAGTTAGAAAAGCCCCATGCTAACGCATCAATTTCAACCTACTTCACAGGCCAGAGACCACATTAGCATGCGAATGGACCCCAGAGGGGACCCAGCTTGCTTCTCTTACAGAGAAGATGATCCAAGGTCACCCACAGGTCAGATGGAGACCCCTATCAGCTCAGGTTTGAGGCTTTCCCACCCCGACTGCCCCCAGCCTCAGAGTGCCCCCTCGAGCCCAAAGCACACTCGGCATGTGGTCCTCAGAAGGTACCCTCTGGTCAAGCAAACAGCCGCCTCGCGTTAGCACCCAGGCTCCACAATGAACCCACCTGCTTCTCCCGGAAGGAGCGCTTGGTTTTTGACCGGACATTCTGGCTATATCGCATCATCATAAAGTTCTTCTGTTTTTTCTTCTCTTTATTTGTGGAACTGGAAAACGGATTTATTTTGGTTTTCTTCCTCACAAATTCCTTTCGGTCTGTCCTTCCTGCCTATTAGCACAAAGCAATTAGTGATTAGTATTTCTTCACTAACAACACACCTCGGGCGTTATCTCATCACTCTGCTGGATGTCAAGGACAAGACAGGGACAAAGTACAGTTTTTGATCCCTAGGACTCAATCCAACAGAGACAAAGCTTGAGCTCAGTGAGAGCAAACACCCAGATTCCTCGGGATTCCAGAGGCCGTGCTGGTGTTGGCATGGTGGGAAAGGGGAAGGAAGACAGAGCGTGGGAGAGTGGAGGAGAAGGCACACGGTTCCAACTGTCCACATGGGTCTCTAGTCAAACCAGATCAAGGTGAGGAGGAGACCCGGTGCGACAGCAGTGAGGGACAACTCGGTCACTGCACACGCACACCGCGCGCGCGCGCGCGCGCACGCACACACACACACACACACACACACACACACACACACACACACACACACACACACACACACACGAGCGGCGCAGCAGCAGCTACAGGCCCACTCTGACTGTGAGCATGTTTCCCTGCTGCTTTAACAATGTGCTAAGCATTCTGAGACCACGGGGAGCGCATAATCTGCATTTCTATCCTCTGCACTGTGTTTTGGGTGGTAGTTACATGGCTATATACAGTTGTCAAAACTCATCTAACAGTCATGGATAGTGGGGGCATCTTTAATCCCAGCAGACATAGGCTGATTGAGTTCAATGCCAGCCTGGTCTACAAGAATTCCAGAACAGTCACACAGAGAGAGACCCTGTCACAAAGCAACAAAAAGGACACCAATCAAAAGAAAACAAAAGAAGCTCATCTTCTGGGCTGGGATGTGGCTCAGTTGGAAGAGGGCTTGCTTAGCAGGCACAGGCTCTGGGTCCTTTCCTCAGCCCCGCATAAACCAAGCATGGCAGTACATGTCTATAAACCACCTGGAGAGTAGAGGCAGGAGGGTCAGGAATCCAAAGGTCACCCTCAACTAAAGTTTTAGGCCAGCCTGGGTTGTGGGTTAAGATCCTGCCTGCCTTAAAACAAAACCTCACCTAAGAAAGGGGGGGAGGGGCAGAAAGAAAGGGAGGGAAAGTGAGCACGTGCCAGCAGGTTTATACCTACACACTAGGGGATTATGGTTCACTTTATTCTTTCTGTTCACAGGAGGAATGGTATGTCCTACTCACCATTGCAGTGGCTAGTCTGGTCTCCTTGTCAGACTTGGGCTTTTTGTGAAGGCGTTCAATGTCCCTCAGAGACAGCAATTCACCCCTGTGGAGAGGAACAAAACAATACAGAACAATGGGGACCTCCTTCCCCAGACATTTTCACTGCCATGCAGGCAGACTGAAGATCTGGGCGTGTCTCATTTTCACCTGGACTCCTCATCACTGTCGATTTCGATGTATTTCCTTTTCTGGGCTTTCCCGGGGGCAGCGTCCATTTCTTTCTTCATCTGGGCCATTCGGATTTTCTGGAAGTCATCCTGCGTTAAAACCCGACTCGTGCTGATGGCTGCAGCTTTGGCTTTCCGCTCCTCCATGGGCATGCTGTCCAGCTTCTTGGCCTTGAAGAGCACAGAGCCAAAAGGACAAATAGTTACCAGCTTAAGTGACAGTGCGGTCATTTCCATTTTAACACAGCCCAGCACACATGGCACCTTGGCAGACAGGACGATGCACTTGTGAGGTCACGTGGACTTACAATTTCTTGCTGCTCTTCGTCGGAAGAGTGGTGCACATCAACCCATTCACCATCTTCTTCCTCCCCGCTGAGACTGGCACTTTCCCATCCATCTGGGCGAAAGAGAAGTCACTGATACAGCTGCCATTTACACAGCCACCCAGACACTCAGATCTTGCCAGGCAGCTTCAGGGCTAGATCTTCCGTGGTGTGAGTGAGAACCTGGGTTCAATCCCCAGCAAAGGCAAGGCAAGGCAAAAGGGAGGAGAACGAACCTTCATCACTTCCTATATCCTCTTCTTTCTCAATCTCCAGAACCTCTGCTCCTGGAATGTAATCTTTAGCATCTAACTCTCCATACTCTTGTATTCTTGCTTCAATGGAGGCTTCAGTAGGTTTACCCTAAGAGATAAAATTATTTAAAAACAAGGTGCTTAGATTAAAAGGAACAATCATTATGAAAGGCCCTCTAGGGTGAGAACACTATTTAAAAAAAATGGAGATAGTCAAATAAAAGGAACAATTTGCTTACACATCAGATCAACAATGTAAAACCCCAGGCAGAGCACAGTTCACGTCTTTCTCAATGCTTTCTGATCTAAACTGAGAAACTGACTTTTGCAAAGAATACCGGCCCTGACTAAGTCTCAAGAGTGCCCAAGAGTGCCACCTCTCTGCGATACAAACACACTTCATCCCTGCTGAAAGAGGTGGCCCCTGGCTGACTGATACTGTGGACTCCAACCTGCCGACAGCATCAAACACTGGCATGTACAAGAAGTCGGCAGGCCTTTAAGACCCAGGCCTCATCACAGAACACATTTAGGCGACAAGGGTTGAGGATCAAGGAATTCAATCAGCTGCATCCTAAGCTTGAAGAACAGAGCCACACGCATCACACATAGTCTCCATGGAGGCATCACTCACTTTCTGAGACCACAAACTTTTGACCACCCTTAGTATGCCTCACCTACCCGGAACTTCTTCTGCAGCATCTGAGGGTTCAGGGTCCGGAAGAGATGAATCAGAGTTCTGGCAGACATCATCACGTCTATAAAACACCACCTTTGATTAGAAATGTTGAAGCAAAGACTACAGCGAGGTAAAGCGAGTCAACCATGCTCGCTGGCCCACAGGGAACGAAGTGCAACTCACTCTTATCTTTGTGCGTCTTATACTGAGCCAGGTCCTGGAGAAGTTCTTCAGTCATGGCCAAAGGACACCGAGCTGTTATCTCTTTTATAGCATTGATTCTGGAAAAGGAGCAATGAATTAAAAATAAAAGAGTAACTTTATGTTCAAAAATCAAAAGGAACACAGGCTGGATTTTATAGGCTTAGGACCCTAAACCTGCAGTGTGGCAGAGGAAAGAGGGTGAACAGCCTTGCAGGCTGTTACTCACGACAACAGTCACTTGTCCCGTCAGTGTAACAAGGACCAGGAATGGGTACAACAAATCATGGCAGGATTTGCTCACCCACTCTAAGGAGAGAAGGCATGAAGACGGCTTGGAAGGGTTAAAGGTCTTTAGAGCTGTTCTCCCAGCCACAGATGGCAAGAGAGATACAAAGTAACTGTTCAGCGTATCACCTAATGTGGGCAGGTTAGACAAGCCTTGGAGTTAACCAGAAGGGCTACGAAGTTCTCTGGTTTCTCTTTAGAGCGACTCATTAACAAATCCCACGTCCCAGTCTAAGAAAAATTCTTGGGGAGGGGGGAGTAAAGAGTAAAACTGCAAAATATCACATGGCTGATCAGAAGGACAGGCACTTTTTATCTGGTTCCCTCCTTAGAATTCTGATCAGTGAAAGGAAACACAGAGCCTCCAGAGAAGACTGCTGTTCTAGAGGCCACACCTACAGCTCTACTGTCCATGTTGGTACATTATAAACACCTACTGTCCCCAAGCATGCTGTACGTACCCTACAGTCATGACTTCCCCAGAGTTCTTGTCAGTAACAAAATTGTTGGCCACCGTCATGAGCAATGATTGAATAATCTGAGTTGGAAACAAAAGAGGTTGTATCGTGAGAGAGGTCTCTGCTTCCTGAGGAGAGCAGATTCTTCACTGCAAAAGCAGACTTCCACCTCCAGGATGGGAGCTGAGAATCAAAGCTAAGGAAGAGAGGGAGAAAGACATACTCCTCCAGGTCAGTAATCTGGGTTGCCAGCATTGGGCACAAGGTTCTTTCACATTGTTTTCTTTTTTAAAATTTAATATGTGTGTGTGTGTGCGTGCGTGCGCCAGTAGCCTCAGAGGCTAGAGGAGAGCACCAGAGCAGCTGGAACTCATTTCAGGCTGTCTGTGTGCTGTCTGACTTGGGTCTCTGAAGAGCAGCAAGTTCTCTAACCACTGATCCATCTTTCCAGCCCCCACTTCTGCTTTGTTTTGTTTTTCAGAGACAGGGTTCCTCTGTATAACAGCTCTAGCTGTCCTGGATCTCACTTTGTAGACCAGGCTGGCCTCGAGCTCACAGAGATCCTCCTGCCTCTGCCTCCTGAGAGCTGGCACCCGGCTACCTCTGTTTTCTTACTCTACGTATTCTATTATGTTGTTTTCAACAATGACTAAATCAAAACAAAACTCTGCTTTTAATCAAAGAATTACCAGCTTTAAACCACAGTCAGCATGAACTTATTAATACCCTTGGACCTTTCCTAGTCGTTTATTGAGAACCCTCAGCACGCTCCCTTCTGTGAACTGTACAGCTGACTCCGGTTACATGCCCTTAGGAGTTAGGTCTCCTCTGTTCATGTAAAGAAAGGGACAGGAGACACAGCAGCCCTGAAAGAAACCCTCATATGCTCAGCAGCGGCAACACTGTGCAATGGATCCCGGTGGCGGCACTCACTGTACTGCACCCCCCAACCCCCGGTCCAGAGGTCAGGGCAGTTCTCACCTCTGGCGGCACCAGGTGATGAGAGGCTTGTGCAGCAAACAGAAGGATCTTCGTAACTTCTGAAAGCACAAGAGACCAGAAGGGACACACATTATCATCTGCCTCCAAGGACTACAGCAACATGGCAAGCAAACTCAGTTATCACACAACTGTCACTTAACTTACTCCACCTGAACAGCAGCCTCTACCCATCTGCAGGGCTCCCCTCTTGGCTCCTTCAGGTCCACTGTTCAACTCTACCTCATCAAGAGGGCCTCTGAGATCCCCAGCCTAAAAGAGGATCTGCCTCCATACTCAATATTGTCCTTACTCTGCTTTTCTCTTCCGAACCTTGACCTGAGTACTATACTGCGCTGCCTAGACTTCCCTCCAGAGCACCAATTCGGTGAGAGTAAGAACTTAGTGCCTAACAGATGTACGCTCACCTTGGCTTTCTGTGTAGGCATAGAAACCAAGAAGGCTGTGTGTGGTAGCTCACCCTATGATCCTAGCACATAGGAGTGAGGTCCTAGGGACAGAAGGACCCGAGACTGGAGCCAGTCAGGGCTATACACCAAATCTGGTCTCAAGCCCCAAACTAACCAAACAAACATCTGCTGGACAAACACAAATGTACACATATGAAAACTCTCTTCCAAAGGAAGCAGTGTATGGAAAGAACAAGGCCTTTGGACCAGGCATGTGTCTCATGTCCGTTAGTGCAGCACACAAGGGGCCCACGCAGGAGGCTTACTGAAGTTCCAGCCAGCCTGGGCTACAGAGCCCGTTTCAAAAACAAACAAACCCCAAGCTGGGTGCAGTGGTGCATGCCAGAGGCAGGAGGACCTCTGTGAATTCAAGGCCAACCTGGTGTATACAGGGGGTTCCAGGCTAGCCAAGCACGAATAGTGAGAGCTTCTCAAAAATATAAAAACAAGCCAGACAAAAAGCCACCACCAACCAAAAATAAAATGAGGAGGCCTTTGGGAAAAGAGGCGAACACTGCCTTCTCATTCACTTGAATTCTGTGGTCACTTTCTGTACTTCCAAGAGACAACTGAAGCATTTCATCTAGTGACGTAGAGAAAGCACTAAGCATGGCGCTAGGCTCATGTCAGATGTTCAAATGTTCACTTCCTTCCTGTCGGTCATCTCTCCCTGCTTCTGTGTCACTGCTAACTGAGGAGGCACACAAGGCCATGGAGTCCCGCCACCACAACCTACGGTTAAAGTGAAAATTACATCATGTTTATGACTTATTTATTATGTGTATGGATGTTTTTCCTGCACACGTGTCTGTGCACCATACGCATGCCTGGTGCCTGTGTAGGTCAGAAGAGGGTATTGGATCTATTAACTGGAGTTATGGATGGTTGTAACCCACCATGTGGGGACTAGGAAGTAGACCAAGGTCCTCTGCAATAGCAGTATAGTGCTCCTAACTGTTGTGCCATCTCTCTAGGCCCAAAACTAGAATTTCTGATAAGAGAATTTATGTTACAAAAAGACTTGCAAGCAAGAATTTATCTTTATTTTTATTTTTTAGGGGTGTGTGTGTGTGTGTGTGTGTGGGCTGGACTGAAGTCCTGATCCTCCGGCCTCAGCTTTCCATCTTCCTTTCTTTTCTCTATATAAAACACACATAACTCTATCTGTCCTTAACGGTGCTATAGCAACAGACTAGCACCTATTAGGTTGCAGCCATCAAGGAACAGACACACAGGAAGTTTACCTCTTTGGTGGGGCTGCAGGAACCTTTGCACAAAAGGGTAGAAGTTGAAGAGGAAAAGCTGTGGAGAGAAGAATGCACCAACTTTAACATTTATGAAATGTAAGCATGAAATTTCAGTTTCCACCATGCAATTTCATCACCAAGATAAATGCACTGGCAAGCTTTTTGACTTGTTTTAGCCTCAGTAAGCAATTTCACCACAGGCTAATTCAATATGCTGCAATAACTCAGCGAAAGAATGTTCTCCCCCATTACCCTGCTCTCTTTCCATACAAGAGAGAAAGAGTAGAATGGGTAGGGAAAGGCAGACAAAACCCAACACCCTTGTAGTTTTGGCCCTGGCCTGGCTGCAGAGCTTTGTCTTGGTGTTCATAGAAGGAGAGCAAGGTCAGGACCAGCACTGGTCCTAAAGCCCCTGGGGACAGAACAGGGACAATCTGAGTGGCCCTAGTGTTATTAGAGTGCCACAAACTGATACCCCTGACTCTACTGTCAACTAGCCCAACTACACTGGAGGAAGGACTCTGGTCTCTGTATTTCTAACCAAGAAAAGCAAAATGTTGAACAATCTCAGAGCAGAACCAGTCATGACAGCCATGTTAGAAAACTGGGCTGGAGAGATGGCTAAGATGTTAACAGCAAGGGCTGCTCTTCCAGATGACCACGTGTTCCCAGTACCCACATGATGACTCACAGCCACAGGTAACTAACTCCAGTTCCAGAGGGTCTGATGCCCCAAAAGAGGGGCATTGAACACATGCATTACACAAAAATACATGCAGGCAAAACCCCCATACATGTAAGAGGAAAAAAACAAAGCCGTCAAGAGAACAATTCCAAGGGTCACTTCCTTGTGATCTAAAACTTTGGTAATCTTTTTCTAAAGGCAGCTATTCTGAAAGTATCCACATGCACACTATATACACACACCAAATAGCTCTAACTCAATACAAAAGAAATACCCAGGGATCCCTGCTTTGCAAACGTACAACCCCTACCCGAGACACCTGGAAGCTAATGCCAGGATGATTAGCACACTGGAAGGTAACAAGAAGAATCAAGAGAAGTATGTAGTTTATTCTGGCTCAGGAACATGTATGTGAAAGTATGAAGTACAGAGCACATAATGGTTACATGTGAACATGTGCATAGATTAGTATGTGCATATACACTGGAAAGGCAACAATGGTAAATAAAAGTAGTTGCTTTCAGGGGGAAAGGTTTGATTTCCTACTAATTCTAACCGTGTAAATGCTTGGGGATTAGAACCGAGACATTGTTCTACGTAACTGCTTTCCTTTACCAAGCCCACCCCACTCCTAACATCCACCAAGAGAAGCAGTGCATTTTACACCTCGTGAATTCCCTCCACTCCCGACATCCGCCATGAGAAGCTCTGTACCTCGTGAATTCCCACCAATCTGGAGATGAGGTTCATGAGCATCATCTTCACTTCAAACCTCTCCTTACAGCCCTCTAGCTGCTTCAGAAGCTTTTCTGCAAAATCTGGGAGGAAAGAATCAGAGGCACAGGGAAAGGGCACGAAGAGTTACATCACTGAAAAGATCAAATATGGCACCCCAAATTCGTCAAGACAGGGTTTCTCTGTATTGTTTTGGAGCCTGTCCTGGAACTCGCTCAGTAGACCAGGATTGGTCTCGAACTCAGAGATCCACCTGCCTCTGCCTCCCGAGTGCTGGGATTAAAGGTGTGTACCACCACCTCCCGGCCGTCTTAAGGACTCTTAAGTTTTTTTTTAGACAGGGTCTCACTACATAGCCTTAGTTGCCCTGGAACTCACTGTGTAGATCAGGCTGGTCTTTAGAACTCCGAGATCTGCCTGCCTCTGCCTCATGAGTGCTGTGCCAACACTCAAGGTGATTTCTAACATCTTTTAGAGAATATTAATTTTATGTGTATGCTTGTATGTGCACATGTGTGCGGATGTTCACAGAGGTGTTGGATCCCTCAAAGCCAGGTTGGCATTGTGAGGCACTTGATGTGGGTGCCAAGAACCAAACTTGGGTCCTGTGCAAGAGCAGACAGTGCTCTTAGCTGCTAGGGCAACTCTTCAGCCCTGGGTTTCAAGACATATTTTAAAAACTATTTCTTTTATCTCTTGATGTTATAATCATGTCATCTCCTCCTTCCCTTTCCTCCCTTCAAGCCCTCCCTTACCTTTCCCTGCCCTTTTCCATTAATTGCTGTTTCACACATATGTATATACATATTCCTAAATACAGGCTCCCGAGATGCTGTGCATCAGTCTCTGCAGTGACTACGGATATAGTTTGCTTCTAAGAGAGTGGTCTGCAGGCAGCCAGCAGCCAATCTACTAGGACTTTCTTGGAAGTGCAGACTCCAAAGTCACACACACCCCCTAATGAATCAGAATCTTCACTTTACCCAGTTTCCTAGGTGACTCAATTAAGAAAGACTGACCTAAAACAAGAGTAAGAAAACAGGAAGTGATAAGACCAATTAGGAACTCAGAAGTAGCAATTATGGTACCTTGAGGATCATGAATCAAATGAATAGCTGAAAAATTAAACACTTCTGGTTTCTTCTTCTTCTTTTGTTTCTGAAAGAGAAGGGAAACCCATTCAAAACCCCTTGGCTCTGAATTCCTGTGACATGTCAGCTAGGCAGTCCTCAGCCTGTCTGTGTGCTTGTGTCCTGAAGGCTTAGCCAGTCCTAGACTGACTGTAGGCTGTGTGCCCAACAGGGAAGATGTCAATGCTCTACTACTCTACTTTGTCTCACCGAGATAGGGTTTCTTACTGAACCTGGACTTACTGTTTTCTAGCAAGGCAGGCTGGTTATCAATTTCCAGGGACCCGCCTGTCTCCCCTCACATCAGGGCTAGCGTTACAGATGTGCGCAGCCACACCTGGCTTGCACTAGATATCTGAACTCAGGTGGCCACGCTTGCACAGCAGAGTTCTTACCCACGGAGCCATTTCCCTGTCCCCATTATATAAATACTTGTTCTAAAAATCTTTTCTCATTTGGAAGAACTAAAGTTGGTTTTTGCCTCTTAAAATTAAGCTTTGAGAAACCAGGTATGGTGGTGCATGCATTTAATCCCAGCACTTGGAAGGCAGGAAGGTGGCTCTCTTGAGTTTGAAGCCAGCCTGGTCTACAGAGTGAGTTCCAGGACAGCCAGAGCTAGCTACAAAGTCAAACCCTGTCTCAAAAACCAAATAAAACAACCAAACAACAACAAAAGTAAAAACAAATCGGCTATGAGATGTGTGACTTAAAGATTAAAGATGCAAATGCTAGCACAACGTAGAGGCTGGGGAAAAGGCTCAGTTGGCAGAGTGCTTGCCATGGGAGCCTGAGGACCTGAGTTTGCATCCTCAGCACCAAGCGGGATGTGGTGGCGTGCCCTGGAACTCTAGCTCTGCAAAGGCAGAGAGAGACAGGTGGATTCCCGGAGTTCACTGACCAGCCAGACTAGCCAGGCTCAGGGAGCAATCCTTTATCAAAGAGTAAGGTGCAAAGGGATTGAAGACACCCAACATTGATCTTGGCAATCTGCACCGTGTTCACAGGCACCTGCATAAATGTAAACTCGTGCACAAACATGTATACATGCTAACTGCCACACACAAATAAACTGTAACACCCATAAATGTGCACGCGCACACACACACACACACACACACACACACACACACACACACACACACACACACACACACACACACACAGAGGCTCCACGGGGATCAAACTAATGATATTTGGAATAACCATCACCAAATACCAAACTTTTTCAAAGAACTCATATCTAATCAAAGTAAATTTAATCAAATTCATTTAAGTCACAGTTTTGTCAGAGCTGAATATAACCTATTCATCTAAAATGTTAATGTTTACAATTCATTACACATTCTTAAGGTTTGTTTGTCTTTAATATTATCTCTTGATTCCAAACCTTAGCAGGCTACAAACTCCATGCGAGTCCTAACACTCATGGTTCCCACTGCAGTTTCCGGGTACAAATCTCACCTTTAGCACTTTCATGGCCTTTTCCAGCTTCTTCTTGTTTTTGGCGCCCTTCTTCCCCGTGGCATACTGCACCAGCAGGTCTCTCGCTGTGGGTCCTTCATCCTGAAGAACAAAGGACACTGGGAAACTGGGAGCAAGGAAAATCTGCACAGGAGCAGTGCACAGACCTTCAACTGCATCCCGCTTTGTTCTAGGGATTCACTTAATTTTTATTATGTGTGTCTGTGTGTAAGAATGTGCATGTGAGGCCGGGCGTTGGTGGCGCACGCCTTTAATCCCAGCACCCAGGAGGCAGAGGCAGGCGGATCTCTGTGAGTTCAGACCAGCCTGGTCTACAAGAGCTAGTTCCAGGACAGCCTCCAAAGCCACAGAGAAACCCTGTCTCAAAAAACCAAACAAAAAGAATATGATATGAGTGCAGTGCCCATGCAGGCCATCGGCCTTGAGTCCTCAGGAGCTGGAGTTACAGGTGTTAGGTTGTTTAATAAAATAACCTCGTCAGTGTCAACGTGTGTGTGTGTGTGCGTGTGTGTGTGTGTGTATGCAATAGTGCTTGCGTAGCTGTCAGAGGACAACTCTGCAGAATGATTCCTATTTCCATCCTTTACATGGCTTCTACAGATGCAGCTCACGTCGCTGGGATTGCTCCACAGGGCTTTATCTCTGAGCTATCTCTCTGGCCCCTATGTTTTAGTTCTTAAGACTTTTTGCACACACCTACTAATGAATACAACTTTTAAAATCAGGAACTATGCAACATGTGTGCTAAAAGAGGCCACACATTTTCCCTGCAGCGGTGATTTTTGTGCTCAGATTTAGTATTTACTTTTCATTTCAGTATGATATATGCAAACACAATGTTGCTTTTATTTGAAGGAAACTGTGAATGTATTCATCAATGGAAGCACACTTAAAGTGTAATACATTCCTATTCTGGATACTCAGTGGGTATTCACAGATCTGAACCAACTGCATCTGCATACAGCGACACAAAGCACACTCAGTGTGGACATATAACGCATAAAGCTGCTAAAAGTTTATGTAAGGCTCTCTGTACACACAAAAATGCACTGGAAACTAAATGGGTAACCTGGAAGGGGACCTAGGACAGAAACAACCCAGAGTCAAGAAAACCTTTACTCTGTCTACATTGTCTCAAAGTCTTTACAAGGAAATACAGTAACATGTTACCAGGGGTTCCTGGTCTAGTTACCACAATGTTAAAATCATTTATTTGTATTTGTGTGTGTGGGTCTGCACATCCCTGCAGATCTCCACAGAAAGCAGAAGATGTTGTTCACGCCTTTGGAGCTGGAGTTACATGCAGTTTTAAACTGCCCAACATAGGTGCTGGGAACCAAACTCTGGGCCTCTACAAGAGCAACAAGTGTTCTAACCACTGGGCAATTACTCTAGCCCTACATGGATATGCATATTTTTAATAATTTCTGTAAAAAAAGAACTTATTTTTACTTCCTCTAAAAATTTTATTTTTTAGCACAAATCTTGATTTTTAAAAACACTGTGACATTATCCTCCTCTCTTTCCTACTTTTGGGACAGTGGTACTATTTCATAACTGCCAGCATTCTCTTTTCTTCTAAATTTATATATGAACAGGAAGAAATAACTTAGAACTAAGATCGGGGTAGAATGAATGTGACTTACATTTTAGTTAGTCTTACTAGATAAATAATAGGAATAAATTGCAAATGTTTTGCATTAAAGTCTCAACATGGCAGGACTTTAAAAAGGACATATGTGACACTCGTTTCCTTCTAACTCTAACATCTGACAGACTGAACTCAGAGCAACACGTGAAGAACTGGACACCTCATTCAACTCACCTCGGACTCTGAGTCACTGTCCTGTTTCTCTTCCTCATCTTTGCCGAGAAAGAAAGTCAAAGCAGCAACTAGGATCTAAAGACCAACAAGAAACAAGTCAACACACCCATGTTACAACAAACACAGACTTCCAACCCACACGCACACGGAAGAAAAGAACCTCAAAGGGAGGGAGGGAATCACTCCTTCTCCATGATTTAAAATATTTCACAAACACGCAAAAAAGTCCTTAACTAGGATGAGGAGAGGGACGCAGGCAGCTCAATGGCAGTGCACATGCTTGAGAGTTAGGCCAGTCCCTGGGTTCCATCCCCAGAGCCCCCAAGTCAATCATTAATCAGAAGAAAGACTGTCAAGCACATGCTATATGGAAGGAGAGGTTAGCGCTCCCCTTGACAAGGATGGAGGGGCTTGAGCCTCACAACACACATGTAGTTAAGGCACTGGCATGGAAGCTGTGGCATCCGATCACTGTCTTTATACACTCTATCTACTGATAAACACTGACCTCAACAGAAACAACCGCCAGGCTCTATACAGCTCCCTTAGGGCAGACTGCTGAGAATTTCTATCTCAAGAAAGGAGCCACCACAGCCTTTCTTACAAGTCACACATTGTCTGAGTTTCTTTCAGCTGTGCCGGGGCCCGACAGAAGAAAAGCCGGGTATCACCGGGGAAAATAATGTGAACTGCTGCTGTTGTTTTGTTGCATCATGCAGTTGGGCTCGATGGCGTCTCTTTTTACAGAGTCGCTTTCCTGGCTCCCACTTTAGAGGAGTCAACTGAGCTACAGGGTTTTTAAGGTATGACGTAGAAATGGTAGCCATTCCCTCCTGACGCACCCAGCTCCACTTCGGTTCGCTTCTGCACAGCCCTACAGCTCACCTTGGTGACCTTGGAGAAACAGGCAGTTGTGATAACATTGACAGTTTTAGCATCATTCCTGGAAGAGAAAACGGCATCAAACACCAAGGACCTCTGACATTAGGATGGTCAATTCTAGGATTTCACAGTGACAAGCTGCTGAGAGTCAGCACAGGCACAAAACTTCCCTAAGTTCCAGCTAAGTCTAAGACACAACTTGAAGCCATCAATGTGAAGAACATTTGGTGCCACAGGAACCCTACTCCAAAAACAAAACCACCAAAAACTCAGAAGGAAAAAAACTGCAATACCCAGGGTTAGAGGAACGGCTAGTGAGGAGAGTGCTCCTATGAGGACTGGAGTTCAAATCCCACCACTCCTGTCAGGGGGGCATGGGGCCTGTCTGTTGACAGAGATGGGATCCCAACAGCAAACCAGTTACCCAGATTAGCTGAACTAAACTGAGTTCTACTGGGTTCAAATGAGAGACTCTGTCTCATACCTTACGGTAAAGAGCAACTGAGGAAGACAACAGATGTCAGGCTTGGGTACACCCACACACACTCCTAATGTATACAAACATTATTTTAAAAACTTAAACAGTGCTGGGCGTTGATGGCCCATGCCTTTAATCCCAGCACTGGGAGGCAGAGGAAGGAGGATCTCTGTGAGTTCCAGGCCAGCCTGGTCTACAGAGCAAGTGCCAGGATAGGCTCCAAACAATACAGAGAAACCCTGTCTCAAACATCAGTGAAATCTCAACCACAGCTGACAAAAGGTTTACTTCAGCTCACACTCCATCACTGAGAGATGCTAGAGCAGGAGCTGAAGCAGAGACCACCAAGTGCTGCTTTTGGCTTTCTTCCTGGTTTCTTTGTTTGTTTGGTTTTGGTTTTTCGAGACAGGGTTTCTCTGTATTGTTTTGGAGGCTGTCCTGGAACTCGCTCTTGTAGACCAGGCTGGTTTTGAACTCACAGAGATCCGCCTGCCTCTGCCTCCCAAGTGCTGGGACTAAAGGCGTGAGCCACCAATGCCCGGCTCATTCTGTTTTCTTGAACAACTCAGGGCCATGTGCAGGGATAACACTGCACCATGGGCTGCGCCCTCCCACATCCATCACTAATTAAAAAGATGCACCATAAACTCCTACAGAGCATCTGATGGAGGCATCTTCTCAGCTGAGGTTCCGCTTCCCAGATAGCAGTAACGCATGTTGAGCTGACAAAAGCACCAAACACATGAATGCCTCTGCACATTATGCTCAACTCAATGGATAACAGAAGTACATTAGAGTGTAAGGTTAAAACAAAGACAAAAAGCCACACTTATCTATGAGTCCTGTAATCATTATAAAGGAAATATAGCTGGGTGGTGGTGGTGCACACCTTTAATCCCAGCACTTGGGAGGCAGAGGCAGCAGATCTCTGAATCTGAGGCCAGTCTGGTCTACAGAGGGAGTTTCAGGACAGCCAGAGCTCTGTATGTGTGTGTGTGAATTTCCCATGAGAAAAATCCCTGCTTGAGTTACCAGATGTTCCTTCTGTAGAGTTCGATCATCACATCCAAAGACATCTTGGCTGCGGTGGCGTTACTGTCTCTCAGCATCGTGTACATGAAATTCTGCAGCACCTAGGGAACAAGGAGGATGAGGACTCGGATGTACAGACAGCACAGGCTTCCAGCAAGGACGCAAAGGGCACTTACCACATTCACTTTATTGTTCTTGTGTTTGGCGTTTATGTTCTTGATGTCAGTCACAATATGTGTGTACAGAGTCTGAGGAAAGAAAGCACAGGAAACCCATGAGCATGTCTGACCTTGGAGAAAAGCACCAATACGCAGGACAACCCTGCTTCTCCTATTTCCTTCTCTACTAGAAGAGATCCAAAGAAGCAAACACTCAAGAGCAGCTAAAGGTAAGGCTGCCCCCGGGGTCCTTACCAAATGAACACGTCTACCCCAGAGAAAAGAAAACCTAGTCCCTACCTGTTACACAAACAGTCAGAACTCCTTTGTTTACAACAGGCAAAAAGGAGAAGCAACGCAAACACCCACTGGGTGATGAATGGCACTGATGATGGGTAAACAAGTGGCAGAGCCATACAGTGATATTTGTCAATGAAAAGGACACGATCTTGAAACAGCAGGCTGAGGGCAAGAAGACAGCTGCAAAAAAAGTAATGTGTAACTCCACTAACATCAAGAATAGGCAAACTGCGGTACTGTACCACTCTTGAGACAGAGGTAGGAAGAGTGTTCGAGGCAGCCTGGATTGCAACAAGGTCAAAGTCAGGCTGGACTACTTAGTCTGAAAGACTCAAGGGCTGGGATGCAGCTTAGTGAACAAGCACTTCCAGCAACTGCAAGGCGCTGGACTCAACCTCCAGCACCACAAGAAACCCAGAAACAGAAAGCACAGAGGACCTGAGAGATGGCTCAGCAGTTAAGAGCACTGGCTGCTTGTGCAGAGGACCCAAGTTCAGTTCCCAGCACACACATGGTGACTCACAACTGTCTGTAACTCCAGTTCAAGGGGACTTGACACCCTCTTCTGGATTCTGTGAGCAATAAATGCATGTAGTATACATACACACATAGGTTAAACACCCACACAAATAAAAACGAGTCTTTCAAAAAAGTTCATTGAACTGTACACTATAAATGAATATAAAATATTTCTTTTTATTATGTTTAATTAACGTAGTTGTGTATGTGCCTGCATTTGGGTATGTGCACATGAGAGCAGGTGCCATGGTGGCCAGAGGTGTCAGATCCCTTGGAGCTGGAGTTCCTGATGGTTGTCACTGTCCGATGAGGGTGCTGGAACTGAACCTGGATCCTCTGGAAGAGCAGTGAGTGCTCAACGCCGAGCCATCTCTCCAGCCCCTAACTCTTCTAAGAGAAGCAAACATCTGACCGAACGCATGACAATTCTGTGACTAAACGGGGCCAAAACATGGTACCATGGATCATTTGTAGTTCACGACTTAGACCAGAACTATAAACGCTCAAACCAAATAGTAGTAGCCTTTTAATATTTGGTATGAGGGATTAACTTAATGAATATAAACTTAAGCTTTTCTTTCTGAAACTTGTTTCATAAGCCTTGATGGGAGATGAAATTCTGTAAATCTAGCTCTTATTGGTTGTTGAATAAAGCACTGTTGGCCAATAGGGAAGCAAGATAGGTGGGACTACGAGTCAAGGAGGATTCTGGGAAAGAGAGGCAGAGTCAGTCACAATGTAGCCTCCAAAGGAGTAAGAGATCTGGACCATTTTCTCTGGTAAGAGAAATACTTAAGATTATGGGTTAAATACTTAACTCAGAGCTAGCCAGTAAGAAACAAACAAATGGCCAACAGCTTCATAATTAATACAGCGTCCTGTGTGTTATTTGGGGACTACAACTGTGGCAGAGCCCAGGCGGCTGGCGGGGGGAGGGGAGGCACAACGGACCAAAGTGCCAGGCAAGGAAGACTACACTCAATCAACAAGCCTTCAGCTCCTGTCTTAAATAAGCAAATATATAGTCATAGAAAAATGCTAAAACAACAAAAAGTTTTTATTGTGCAGGTTGGTTCTAGCTAGTGTGCATGTCCTCATGTAACCATTCAGTACAGCATAGTCATGAAGAGACTAGGTTTTGGCACCAGACTGCATGGGTTCATGGTCTAGTCCTACACATACAGAAGCTGTATGACTGACCGAGACAAGCCATTTGCAGTGCCTCAACCAGTCTGTATAGCATTAACCATAAAGACCTCAACAATCTCTGTTTCAGGTTTTTGTGAATAAACACATACTGGAAGCCTTTGAGATTAATGCTAGTCCAGAGTGGCATTCAGCAAATGTTGGTTATTAATATTAAACTGCATAGCTGTATCAGCTATATCTCTTACCCTATCAAATGAGTTAATAATTCTGTGAACTCTGAACTCTGTCACGTCAGCTCATGAAGAGAGGGATGTAGGCAGCAAATGTTGGTTCTTTACCTTCCGCAGGAGCTTGTCGTGGCATCGCAGAAGCTCAAAGAAGAGCTCTAGCAAACTCGATGGGTTGATGAGATTTTTATTTCTCAGCAAGATCAACGCTTTGCAAAATGTCTAGGGGGAGGAAAAGAACATACTAGATGATGGTGAAGTTAATCAAATGAGAAACCTGGCATGCACATCCACCTCTGCCCTGCCCCAGGCACCAGAAAGGTGTTCCGCTGGAAGGTGCCCTCACTTCTCCATTGTCATTGCATGCACAGGACATTTTAACTCTCCTACCATTCGGAGATCCGGGTCCAAGACAGTGTGATTGTAGGAGAGCAGCTCCTTTAGCTCTTGTGGGAAGTTACTGAGATGCTCCGGGTAGCAGTGGCCAATCTGTAACAAAGCAGAGTTCTTCTCAGGGCGGCCTTTCTCCCTGCTGCCAGCTTTCCCTGTATGCTAATTTTTCTACAACTCTCATGGTTCCAGTGGCTTTTTTTGTGAAATGTACACAGCACAATTGAGAACCTGCTTGTATGATGAATTAAAAAAAAAACCTTTTTGATTTTTGTTCTGGTTGGTCTGTGTTAAATCAAAATCCTCTAACACATCTTAGGAAGAAGGCCGGAAATAGCAGGGGTGGGGCGGGGGCGGGGCAGTGGTACTTCTGCACCTCTGTCCCACTGAGGAATTACCATTACCTTCTTACCTGTGCCATGAACATCACCAGCTCTGCCAGATCTTTGCTCGGTTTATTTGGTTGTAACTTGAAAATCTCCATATTGGATTTATAGTGATTATACTGCTGGAGGAACTGTAGGGGAAAGAGAATGGAGTCTGTCACACTCTTTTATGCAGAATAACAAGGTGCACACATCTTTGCCAGCGGCGCAGAGAAAAGGTCTAGGTATGTAAGAACACACTTTATTTGGTGGTCCTAGGATTAAAACCAAGGCTTCATGAATGGCAGGTGAACCCTCTACCAAGTCACACCCCCAGCTCTTAAAACATTCCTTTCTCCTTCTCTGTATCTGTCCACCTGGATTTTGAAAAATCTCCAGCACCACATGGCTCCTGTGAGCCCTGTTCCTTAGGATAGAAGCTTGAGCAGAGAGGCATAAACAAAGGGCCAGGAACTCAGACTGTGGCCTGTTCTCCCGTCCACATCACATGAACTCCTGTATGGCCCAGCTATAACACTCCTGAGTATACAGCAAAAGGACTCCAATCAAACACTACAGATACACTTGCACAACCGTGTTTATTGGTGTGCTACCTATTACAGCCAGAAACAGAACTGGCCTGGGTGTTCATCAACAGAAAGAATGTACAATGAAAATTTGGCACATATACACATTTTTTTCAGCTACGAGCAACAATATAATCATGACATTGGAAGGAAATCATTATGTTAAGAAAGTAAGCTAGACTTCTTTCTTATGTTTCCTCTCCTAAGCAGAATTTAGATCTAAATTTATGTTGATGACACAAGTTAGAAAGGGGGATATGGGGGAAGACTCTTTTTTCATGTATACTGAGTATTTACATGTATGTGTGTACACATGTGCCTGGCATCCAGAGGCCAGAAGAGGGTGTAGGCTCCTCCGAAACTGGAGTTACAGATGGTTATGAGACATGATGAAGATGTTGGGAACCAAACCTGGGTCCTCTGGAAAAGCAACCAGTGCTCTTAACCACTGAGTCACTCCCCAGGAAGATGAGGTCTTAAAGGGGTGCTGGGAACTGAAATGTATGGGACATCAATACAGAAGCAGGGGCTGTCTGGGAAAAGGAAGGGGACCAGGAAGGCTTGGGAAGGGCAGTGTAGAAGGGGGCAGGTAAGAACAAAACGCAGCATATACATACGAGAGTCTGAAATAAAGCCCACCACTCTGCATGCTAACAGAAAAAGAAAGGCAAGGACTCTTAATCGACACCTTTGCGAATGACGGGACTCGGGACACCGGAAAGCCCTGCCTGTCAGTACTTTGTTGTACCAGTCTGGCACTCTCTATTGGCGGCCACCCGAAGTATTGAAAAGCATTTGTATAAACACTCATATGTAAAGATACATGAGTTTGGGGGAGAGGGACAATCAAAAAACGAGCTGAGTTATCCTCTGGGGAAAAAAGTCACAGTGTCGCGGGAAGTCAACGGCAGCAGCCTGGGATGATGGTTTAAATGCTTCCGAGACAAATGCGTGTCTGAAGTCTCCACCAGGCTAACAGCACAAAGCCACCGCTTTCATTTCGTCTCACTTCACGCACCTGAAGTGCTAAGGCCCTCACAACTGTCGACCTCGATCTTTTCCCAAAGCGTTTTCTCAACTCTAGCTCAGGCTGGCTCCCAATGGGTTGGAACCCTGGCTTCACCGCACCTTCTAAGGTTCTGACGGCGGCCCGGGCATCTGAGAACGCTCTGCTCGTCCTGGCAGGGCTCGGGGGGCTGGGGCGCGGCCGTCTGTGGGAAGCATCTGTAAGCACGACTCCTCCAAAGCGAGGGGCTAATTAAATGAGTCTCTGATCCGAGGCGGCCGGCGGCTGGGCGCGGCCCTCGGCACCGCGGCGGGGTGGCTGCACAAATGCGCAGGCGACAGGTTTTAAGCCGTGTCTCGGCGGCAGCGAGTGGGGTCTGCAAGCGGCGGGAGACGAGCCCTGAGGAACGTTCCTTCCCCGCACCCTCTCCTCCCGGGAGGACCCCAGAGCCGCATCCCCGTCCCACCTCCTCGACGTAGGCTGGCGGGTCCCGCTTGATCAGGTTCTGTAACTGCGGCAGGTTGCTGGGCAGCTTGTTGTTGTTCCTGCCCGACATGGTGGCGGCAGATGGGCTACCTGGCGGGGACTTCTTGGAAAACGTAGGCCCTCGCCAGTCACGGCCGGTCCCCGCGGCAGCTTAGACTCGTGTGTCCCAGAGTAACCGGAAGCAGCACGTGGGACACTCGGCAAGCCGTACCGAGCTACGGGAGGCTCAGAGGCTCAAACTTACCCGCCCTGTTTGCAGTGCTTTGTTGGTGTCTGCTCGCTGTCGGTCCCTGCTGTTGGGCAATCGCTACTGCTGTCGCCAATATTTTAGACACAATGAAAGTTAAAGCTGTGGATTTTTTTTCTTCCACATGTATGAGCAGGTTTCATTATCTCAACTTTTTTTTTTCATTGGAAATGAATTTTTGGGGAGGGAGGCGTTTTCGAGGCAGGGTTTCTTTTGTAGCTTTGGAGTCTGTCCTGGTACTCATTCTGTAGATCAGGCTGAGAGCTGAGGTTAAAGGAGTAGGCCACCACCGCCCAGCGAAAATAATCTTTATACGATACATTTAATCAGGCCGGGAGTTGGTGGCACACGCCTTTAATCCCAGCACTCGGGAAGCAGAGGCAGGTGGATCTCTGTGAGTTCGAGGCCAGGCCAGTCTGGTCTACAGAGAGAGTTCCAGGATAGGCTCCAAAGCAATACAGACCCTGTCTCATAAAAACAAAACAAACAAACAAAATCCGAAACATTTGATCATGTTTTTTTCCCTCCTCCAATTCTTCCCAGATCCTCCCCACCTCCCTAAGTATTCTTAGGATGGCTCAAATGAATAAGGATCAATAGGGGACTCAGGCATGCCCAAAACTTACAAAGTAGAGAGAGGAGGGTTGAGGCTCCCAGGCCATCCTCAGCTACAAGTGGAATTTGAGGGAAGCGTGGAATACATGAGACCCTGTATTGCAAAATGAGGATTAGGGGCTAGAGAGATGGTTCAGCAACTAAGATCAGGTCCTGTTGTTACAGAGGACCCAGGTTCAGTTTGTAGCACACAGTCAGGTGGCTCTCAACTGCTTATAACTCCTGCTCCAGAGAAATATGAGACCTCAGCAGGCACCTATGCTTACAGCACATATAGTCACACACAGATGCATATACATAATTAAAACAAACAAAAAATCTTTTTAGAAATGAGGACTAAAAGTCAGGCGTGATGGTGCATGCCTTTGATTCCAGCACTCTGGAGTCAGGGGCAGGAGGATCTCTGTGAGTTCGAGGCCAGCCTGGTCTACAGAGCAAGTTCCAGGACAGCTAGGGCTGTTAAGAAACCCTGTCTTGGAAAAAAAATAGAAAAGAAATGAGGGTTAATCATTTTCTTTAGACTGTACTGTCCTGGAATATTACTTTAACTGTGTAAAAGGTGTGTTACATGTGTTTATGCTCCATTTGTTTAACGATGTAAGGATGTGTGTTTAATTATGTAAAGATGTGTTGCATGTGTTTCACCTTGCCTGCCTAAGGCATCTGATTGGTCTAATAAAGAGCTGAATGGCCAATAGCTAGCCAGAGGAAAGGATAAGTGGGGCTGGCAGGCAGAGAGATTAAACAGGAAAAATCTAGATGTGGGGGAGGGGAGAAGGAGAAGGGAGACACCCCGAGCCAGGCAGCCATCAGCCAGCTAGAGGGACAACAGGAAACTACAAAAAGGTAAAAGCCACAGGCAAAATGTAATCAAAGAGGTTAAAAGAGCTAGCCAGAAGTGAGCCTAAGCTAGGCTGAACATTCAAAACCATTAACAAGTCTCCACGTCATGATTTGGGAGCTGGTTGGTGGCCCAAAAGAAAAAGGCTGGAACACGGTACTGAAGTTAGAAGGAATATCCATGAGGAATACGACTAGAAAACGTTGTTTTAGAGACTGACAAGAGCAGGGGTGGAGGTTAAATTGGCTTTTGTTTTTTGAGACTGGTTTCTCTGTGTAGCCCTGGTCATACTCAGATTCCCGCTGTAGACCAGGCTGGCCTCGAACCCAGAGATGTGCCTGTTTCTGCCTCCCAAGCGCTGGGACTAAAAGCGTGCACCACCGTATGATTGCTTTTCTTTTGGTTTTGGTTGTTTTAGTTCATGGTTTGGATATGGAAAGCAAATTAATCTGTACTTAGAATTCAACTGTTGTTAGCATTTCTGTGAATGTTCCTCAGCTTGAGTTTTAAATTCAGATCTGGTGCTTTGCAGAGAAGTTTCTACAACCAAACAATGCGCATCAGTGAACGTGAGGTAGCTGGCTGGGTGAATGAATGAATGAATGAATGAATGAATGAATGAAATAATGCAGTGTTAATACAAAAACACGCTATCACCCACCCTGTGCCCGTACTGTTCACGGGCTTCTCTTACATTCTCTTTAACCCTCAGAGCATCCCTGCTGTTCTTTTGCACAAATATTAGGATAAAGCTGGAAGGGAGTCCTGCGTGGGGTACCCTGGTGGATTCCATGGACGGCGAGGGTGACCAGGGTGTGTGTGGGGGCAACAAACACGCCAGGAAGACAATTTGAGTGAGTTGTTTTATTAGAAAGGGGAGAGGAGGAAAGAAAGAGAAAAGAGGCAAAGAGACACAGAGGGAGGACAGAACGGAAGAGGGAGACAGGGGCAGAATGAGGAGAGAGGAGCGTAAGTGGGCGGGGTGGGGGAGTGTCTTTCTTTTAAAGGGGTCCTTTGCACCTGCGTGCAGACTAATAGTCATGGAACCCCAGCCTGACCAGGGAACTGCCTGAGTGCATTCTGCCGGGTCATGGGGCAGGCCAGCACAATGCCTGAATGCACTGTTGTCTTTAAAGGTGAGGCTCAAAGGATGATTTGCCGAAGTTTGCTGGTGTCAAGGAAGCTGGGATTTAGTGTTAGATAAAGTGCGAGGGGAGCCTTGGAGGATTCCACGGCAGGTGAGGGTGACCGAGGCGGAGGGACAAACATGCCAGGTAGACCGAGCTTAGTGACAAGTTTTATTAAAGGGGGGGGGGGAGTGGTGAAGAGGCACAGAGACAGACAGAGGACAGAAGAGGGAGACAGAAAAAGTTCTGTCTGCCCCAGGGGAACAGCGGGAAAGAGAGAGCCAAATGAGAAGAGCAGAAGAAGAATGGAGTGGGTGGAGCCTTTCTTTTTATATAATAATTTTTTTTTTTGGTTTTACGAGACAGGGTTTCTCTGTATTGTTTTGGAGGCTGTCGGTCCAGCCCGGCCTCGAACTCACAGAGATCCGCCTGCCTCTGCCTCCCGAGTGCTGGGATTAAAGGCGTGCGGCACCACCGCCCGGCTATATAATAATTTTTTATTTAACTTTTTACACATGTTACTCTCAGCTCCCTCTCCCTCCCCTCCTCCCCTAGCCGCCCCCCATTCCTCACAACCCCCATCCCACTCATCTCCCCTTTGCTCCCCAGGGAGGGTAAGGCCTTCCATGAGGGATTTTCAGAGTCTGTCATATAATCCTGGGCAGGGCCTAGGTCCTCCCCCATGTGTCCAGACTGAGAGAGCATCCCTTCATGTGGAAAGGGCTCCCAGAGTCCATTTGTATGCCAGGAATTGATCTACTCTCCAAGGTCCCATAAATTGCTGAGGCCTCTTCTCTGACACCCAGGATGGGGAGGGTATCTAGATCAGTCCCATGCTGGTCTCTCAGTCATCAGTCTGGAGTCCATGCATTCCCCCTTGTTTAGGTCAGCTGCATCTGTGGGTTTCGCCAGCCTGATCTTGATTCCTTTGCTCATCACTCCTCTTTGCAACTGGGTTCCAGGAGTTCAGTTCGGTTTTTAGCTGTGGGTATCTGCCTCTGCTTCCGTCAGCGACTGGATGAGGGTTCTAGGATGGCATATAAGGTAGTCATCAATCTCATTATCAGGGGAGAACATTTAAGGTAGCCTTAATGCCAGTTGGTGTCATTTTTATTGATCTGTGAAGATCTCACTAGTGCCAGATCTCTCCTCCAACTTATAATGGCTCCTTCTATTATGGTATCTCTCATTCTTCTCTCTATTCTTGCCCAGCCTCAACCTTCCTGCTCCCCTCCCCCCCCCTCGTGTCCTCCTCTTCTCCCCCTCTCTTTCTCCCATCTCCCCCCCCCACTAAGAGATCTCCTCCCATAACCCTTCTCCAGGTTACCATGCATATCTCTCTTAGGGTCCTCCCTGCTTCCCAGACTCTCTGGCGGTCCATATATGAGCGAGTACATACCATGTTTTTTTTTTTTTGTGACTGGGTTATCTCACACAGGATGGTTTCTTCTAGTGCCATCCATTTGCCTGTAAATTTCAAGATTCCATTTTTTTTCCTGCTGAATAGTACTCCATTGTGTAGATGTACCATATTTTCTCTATCCACTCTTCAGTTGAGGGGCTTCTAGGTTGCTTCCAGGTTCTGGCTATTACAAATAATGCTTCTATGAACATAGTTGAGCAGATGTCCTTATTGTATGAGTGTACATCTTTTGGGTATATTCCTAAGAGTGGAATTGCTGGATCTTGTGGTAGGCTGATTTCCATTTTCATGAGGAATCTCCATACTGATCTCCAAAGTGGCTGTACAAATTGGCATTCCCACCAGCAGTGGAGGAGTGTTCCTGTTTCTCCACATCCTTTCCAGCATAAACTGTCATTAGTGTTTTTTATTTTAGCCATTCTGATGGGAGTGAGATGGTATCTCAGAGTTGTTTTGATTTGCATGTACCTGATGGCTAAGGATGTTGAGCACTTTCTCAAGTGTCTCTCAGCCATTTTAAACTCCTCTATTGAGAATTCTCTATTTAGTTCTGTACCCCACCTTTGAGTTGGATCCTTTGGTGTTTTGGAGACTTGCTTCTTGAGTTCTTTGTAAATTTTGGAGATCAGCCTTCTGTCAGATGTGGGGTTTGTGAATATCTTTTCCCATTCTGTGGGCTGCCGTTTTGTCTTGTTGACTGTGTCCTTTGCCTTGCAGAAGCTTCTCAGTTTCAGTAGGTTCCATTTATTAATTGTCTATCTCAGTGTCTGTGCTACTGGTGTTATGTTCAAGAAACAGTCTCCTGTACCAATTCATTCAAGGGTACTTCCCACTTTCTCTTCTAAGAGGTTCGGTGTGGCTGGGTTGATGTTGAGGTCTTTGATCCATTTGGACTTCAGTTTTGTGCATGGTGATAGATATGGATCTATCTTCTG